TGGGGTCCAAAAGTCTGAGAAAGTGGTCTCTGACTTATGGACCCCACTGTATGTATTTTAACAGGCAGTCCAAATTACTTATTATATCCAGATTACCAAACCAGAAATAGTATGCCATTCTCTATAAACGCAGAATTAACATACAATTCTCCTTCTTTATACACATCATTACAGTCTATCAATTTATATTACCGTCAGCAAAACAGCTACTTACATGTGATTGTGTGTGAAGTGATTTGACAGCAGAGTGGATGACAGTCAGGTTGGGAAATTTCTCCTCCAAAACACTGGATGGTCGCTCCTCTACATCAAACTCTTCCAGCACCTTTGACACCTTCTCAAAAATGACAAAGGAAAATGATGAAGGATTTGATTCCTGCCACACATTTAGAGCAACTTGATAAAGACAGTCTAGTGTTTGTCAAATGAACATGAATACAGATATCATTCCCATTAAAAGCAAAACAAGTTCTTGCTCCTCTGTGTGGCAATTTTTAATTATTTGGTGGCTCACTTCAAATACATGAGTGCATACAGAGCGTGAGACTCAGTGGAAAACAAAGCCACAATATCACCTTCATCATCACTCTAACCTGTTTATAGTTGGTCACTGCCTTGATATGGGGACCTGCTGTGATCAGAGCCACCTCAGCTGAAGGAATCTGGGATGACAGCTGTCAACAAAGATTAAGATTTATGTTAAGTAGCTACATTACATGCATCACAGTAGTAGAGCCTCTGTATCTAGGTTAATAAATACATTTATTTTTATGTAGAGCTAACATATTCTTTATCAGCTAATTTTCACCTGCTCAACACATGTCACACCCGCGATACCACCTCCAACGATCACAAACCTAAACGTTTTCTCCACTTTATGTGCCATTCTTTTTACACGATGCTAAGCTAACTGGTTACGCTATTTCGCTAACACTAGGTGCCGTACATTTTCCGACGGCAAAAACACTCTGTCACTCTGTCGCTGATAAACATTTAAGACCCAGCTAGTTACTGGTACGGGTCAAAATACTTATGGCAAATTCTTGTGATGGCTAACCGGCCAAATGTTTCTAAAGCACATGAGCCCGAGGAGTGTGGTAAAGTAACTTCCGTGTTTACAAATAACTACGGCAAGCAGCAGGAAAAGTTTTTTAAGCGCATGCACCGAGGGTCCCGCGCTTCAAGTGTTTAATTAATCGCAACGCACGTTTGTTTTGACACTTAGTGTCAGTACTTACAAGACTATCCCATAGTGACGATAATATAACAAGTGGAGGTGTGTAATTAATATGTCAGTTCACTCTGGACTAAAAGGCACGTACAGGGTAGTAGCTATGATTCAGGTGGGAAGTGGAAACATTTAATACGAAGGTTTTCCCCTCAGTGATGTTGTCCACAGTAGGTGCACACCAACAAACCGCAAGGTATACCATAAATAGCCTATTCTGTCTTATTATAATGGGTTGTTAGTCATGTAGGTTAAAGATGTAAATGCACAGCCCTGTAGCTTCATTGCCTGCTCCTCATGTTGATGCTCTTTTGATTGTGTGTCAATGTGTTAGGTAAGACTAAAGGTAGGCTATTAGATGTCTCTATTAGATATGTGGTGGTTGTATTTTAATTATTATTTTATTACCATAGTTTGCAGTACATCAAACAAAAGTATTGACTGTAGTCCTCAATTCATTTAGAATAGGTACAAAACAAGAAAACAGTAGCTACAGTTATATAAAGATAAATATGTAGGCTACAACATATTATGTAAGAGTCAAACTATTGTTTCCAAGGTCAAGAATGAACTCATTCAAAATGTAATGTGGTTTTTAGTGGACAATTGTCAAAATTTTCCCTACATTTAATTTAATTTGTCACTACTGCGGAACAAACTGGACTTCCCAACATTCAATTTCTGCCCCACGTGTGCAAGGCTGGTGCGTCTCCTAATTTTTAATAATGTAAAAGGCAACATTGTTTTTCACATATCAGCAGTGCTAGTTAAAGTTAGTCTTTTCCCTCTGTACTCACACTACTTACATAAACTTATGAGTATTTAGAAGCCCAGTCTTTTTTTTAATGTCATATCAAAGCAAGATTTAAAATGTCATAATTGTCACATCGATTAAAAAAAAAAACAACCTTCTGTGTTAGTCAATAATAATTGAAAATGATGTTACAACCAATGCAAACAGAATCAGAATCAACCTTATTGGCCAAATATGCTGAATACATGCAGTTTTCTAATCTGAATGGATAATGTATAAACAGAGGCTGTTTATGTGCATGCATGGATGGGCAGAGTGTATGTACAGTATATACAGTATGTTTGAGTAAGATACTGTAAAAAGATATTTACATGCTGCTGTCAACATCACAAAACATTTTTAACCTTAATTGTTGTCTATAGTGTTAGTCCCTGTGTTAAAAGGCCTGTAAATCCTTTTAGCAGAGAGAGCAGGTTACAGGTCCTTTGTTTTGAATTTTGGTGGCAGGATGACCTTCTTGTTTATTTTTGGATCACAATGGTACCTTTAATGTCAGAGATTTACGCAGCCTCCGGGTCATGAATCAGACCTCAAAATTCCATCAAAACATTCATCAACCGTCATTACTGCAGTGATAAACAACTCACCACCAGATAACACCTGAAGTACAGTGCCATTTGTGATTTTAAATGAAATAATCAACAGATCTTGACACGATCCCCATTCTCTGTCAGGGTGTTTGGCGGATAATGGCTGCATTGTTTTTGGATTCATCAGCAAAAGCCTGCACTTGTTCTATTTTTGAAAAACCTTTTATGCCAGTGTTAACCATGCATGGGAGTATTGATGTCAGTGTCTGAGACGATCGGGTCACTGGTAATCAAACGTGGGTTAATGCTGTGCGTCATACTTCCCCTCTTGATTTTCATTAGGTTACCCTGAATAACCCCTGCAGGAAGACAACACATGACTGTGTGGAATACACTGAGATCACAAATCTGCCATGAAATGGAATTTGGTGTTGGTGGTGATGCAAATGGTGTTTGTTTTTTTAAAATCGACTGCATTCAATGTATGCAACATAATTTTTCATTTTATTTATGTTTTTGTGAATGCATTTCAAGAGTTTATGGACCGCTTGACCATATTATTGAAACCATGCTGCTTCTGAGATTAATCAAGCTATTTTTACTTACTACTGAAATCCAAGCCAGTGTCACAAATTGCCCATTAAATTGTTTGCATAATGCATTGATTAGCTACTTGCAGCACACTACACGTATACAGGAGCTGTAAGAGGAACCTTGGAACTCTTGAAGTTGACAGCCTCCATTAGTGATCACATTTGGGATTACAGTTAACCTGACTATATGTATTGGACTGTAAATGCTAATGGTTTTAATGAAGTAGAGGTATTTCTGTTTCTGTCCTTGCTTTTCTGCTGAAGCGGGAAGAACAGGAGTTGGGAAAAGGGTGATAGGCATATATTTCTGTGCACCAATCAGGGTTTAGCAATATTGCCGTTAGATGGTTAAATCTGCCAAAACCTCACCTACCCAGTCCTGGTGAAGGAGATTATATAGTAAATGATATTGAATAAGGGTATTTTTGAGTACTAATTATTCAGCCATTTATAAAGAAACCCTAAAAGATTTGCAGTTTTAGGGACTATAAATCACACACTTTCAGTCTAAAGGGAATCCTGTAAAAGTTATTACTGAGGAAAGTAAAATATTCGAAACAGAGATAGGAGGTATTTTGCTGTATGCCAATACAGGTGGGGAAAATTTGAGAACAGGAACATTATTTGATGAGCAAGTGAGTGTAGCATCATGGACGTATCATTATATCTTTATACATTATTATAATACATCCATGGTGTAGCATCCAGTCTACCATGAAGTATAGTGCTTCTCAGAGAGCATATTATAACCTCTTGTGTTGTACACGCAACACTGGCTGAAGCTCTTGGCAAGACTGGTAAATAAACAGCTGTTAATGCTAATACTGGCTACGTAGTAATATCAAAATGTACAAATAGCTGCTTTAAAGAATCAACCGCTTAAACTCACACATTATAGCCTTTATCTTTTGTTTAAGCTGTACAAAAAGGAGCTGAACGTGTGTCAGACTGGCGCCTGTAACTTCCTGGCTAGCTGTTTCCCGCTGTTATGCTAACCTAAGCTAACCAACTGCTCATAGGCATATTTCCCTAACTTATCCCTTTGAAATAATATTAATGTCGTACGTTCCCAGGCAATGACTCAAGCATTCAGTAATGGTTTCTAGCACTAAACATGTAGTTTTACTGCGCCGTGGCAACTCCCTGCAATTGACATTATAGTATCTGGTTACTGACCGTAGCTTCTAAATCTGATTCAGTGGATGTTTAGAGACAAATTATGAAGCTGTGTAAAGCTGTGTGAAACAAAGAGTGATTGAAAAGAATCACCATTTTATTTTCAACTATGTGTGGGACAGGGATAAGCAAGTTTGGAGCTGATACCGAAAGTAAAATACTTGTGATTGTTTTAATGGACAACTCCTTAAGTATTACATGTGATGTAACTCGTCAAACAGATGTTAATAGCTCACAGCTCCCACATGCAGCTGTCATGATATGCAATAACGTGGCTTAAAACACATGGATATTTTTTCTTTACAATTTTATTATCAAAGCAACAGATGATGACATTTATTTCATATGGCTTTACATCTGTTTTTCTTTTATTTATTTATTGTTTGATTAATTACTTTTATGTATTTCTATATTCACATCATGACATTGTGGAACATTATTAACAGAGCCACAGCACACACAGATCCAGAAAAACATACACTGACTTTGATGGTTTAAATTAAAGGCACTGTTTCTTAAAATGAACAAGAAGACTCTTTTCTTAATCATCACCATCACTGTCGTCATTATTAACGTCAATCTCACAATCATTGTTACATAAGATGACTGGTTATATCATCAGAGCACTGGGAGTGCTGGTGGAGTTGCCACAGTCGGTACTAGAGAGGCAGATAGCTGGAAGGCTGCAGTAGGTCCCTCTTGCCGTAGGTGGCAGATCCCACGTTGGTCGGTGCGTAGACAGTACCAATAGTGTTACTGGAGCGGACCAAGAAGTCTGCTAGCCTTTGGGTGACACAGGTGGCTGTGTTGCACTTTCTCTTCTGTATGTTGTGGCTGGGAAGACAAGAGAAAAGCACGCAAAGTGAGCAATGTTAGACACTCTATTCATAGCCATGATAGCATGTTTTGCATGTCATGTAAGTTCTGCTACCTGTCCATAGGTGTGAGCCCCCGTTGCAGCCGTGTACCCATGAGGTTGAGGAATGGGTTAGAGACTAGCCCGGGTGCTAACCAGCCCTCGCTGTCTAAGAGAGCACTTTCCTGCTCGCTGGATGAGCTGGGACTGAAGTACCTGAATCACAGAGAGAAAAGGCCCCAACCATTTCACACTGATAGCTGATGATACCCTCTTCAGAACATCCTCTAGTGCCAAGAGCAAGAAGGAGAAGTGGCCACTTAGCTCCCCACGAGATGCACAATGAAGCACTTTCATACAGACAAGCACAATCGGCCTCCACCTCCAGAGTTATACATCAGTGACCTACTGCTCCTCATACAGAACAGCCCTTATTACTCGCACACTATCCATAATATTCAGATGCTTTTCTGCTGAACTCAGGTTAAACTGCTATATTGGTTTTCTGGTTGTTACAATACCATTTGAGCAACTACAAATTCTACTGGTGTCTGATCTGACATGATCAGTAGTTCAACTATTAATCAAACTTGCAAAATTTAATACATATATGTACTGTAAATATCGCCAGTTACACCAAAGAGATCATTGCTTCTTGTAATATATTCATTTACCTGTTGCTTGGGGCAGTGGTGACACAGTGCAGCAACACAAGCAGCATGAGAAGAAGCACAGGCACCTTCAGGTGATACATAGTGTAGGGCGATTACCTGGATCAACACAGTTGATGCAACAAAGTTTGAATTATTGTTACGGAGAACTATAAGGCAAGACAGTGAATGCAGTATTTTTCAGTTAGTCCTTATGAACCTTTATTCAGCTAGAAAGATCTGACCAAAACAACAGCAGCACAGAAACTCATCATCAGTACATAATCAATACCTAATGTTAGAATTAACACATAAAACCAAGCATAAAATACAAAGGTTAAAACATAATGAGAGAGTAAGATATTAGTTAGTTCTTATTTGAAGAAATTCTGTATTTCAAGTCACCATTGTGAGAAAAAAAGAAATGTATTGTTAAATCTATACAACCTATATTTCACCTACAGTCTAATTTGAAGCCATGCTCAGTGATTCAGTGGCAGTAATATACAAGCATCTACCAAACATTAACCAGTTCATTTTTTAATTTCCTGTTGCATGGCTGAAAAGTTACAGCTAGGGTTGTAACTGATTATTATTTTCATTAACAATTAATTGGCTGTTTATGTTTGCAATTTATCACTTAATCTTTAAGTCTATAAAATGTCATAAAATGAAATGAAAATCACAATTCCTCAGAAGCCAAGGGGATATCTTCAAAATGCTTGTTTTATCCATCCAACAGTCCCAAATCCAGAGATTTTTACTTCATTATCATATAAGACAAAGAGAAACAGCAAATACTCACAAGTGAGAAGCTGGAATCAGAGAATATTTGGTCATTTGTGTTTAAAATTACCAGATGATTTTCTGTTAGTTGGCATTGCAGCCATGCATATATTTTTTCCACTCCATTATGCTAATTGTCAGCATTTATTGACGTTTCTGCACATCATACTTCTGAATAACAACCCCTTTTTAATGGATTAATTAGAAAATCCCAAATTACTTCTGCATCATGTTGTGAACATTTCCCTGTGATGCAGACATTTGATGAAGACATAATTGGTTTGGTAAACCTCTAGGAAAATATTCCATTCAAACCTACAAGACAACTATTATTATCCAAACTAGAAACACTGTCCATTTTGTTGTAGCACCCCATTTTTTATAGTATATGTAAGACTCAGATACAGGTCCTGCGAGATAGACACCTAAGCCCTTAAGGGAAAGAGTACTTACTTTGTGCTGTGTTAGCCAGTAGCCAGCAGATCCCAGTCTGTCAATGGAGCAGTCCAGGGTTTGTCTCGCTGTCACACAAACCGACTCCAACAGTTATAGGCTCTCCGCTCAAACCACTTGTGACATCATCTCTCTCCAAATATAGCTTTGCATTTTCATTTACACAGAATGGGAAGGGTGGGGGTGTGTAAGGAAGACCCGGAGGATCTTATGTATGTCATACACACCCTCCGCTGTACCATGTGTGCTCTTAAACTCATGCACACTCACAGAAAAGACACACATAAACATACACACGTCTGTACGTCACCTCCCTCATCATCACCTTCGTCATCATTGTCATCACTGTCCGTGATGGGACTGACCCGCCATAAACCCACACCCGGGAGAGGAACACTGTCAAAGTGGGAAGCTGTCTTCGTATGTACCTTGAGACACATAATGAAGTTTTAGGTCATCAGGCTCTGGCCTTGGTGCCTCCCTCTGGACCTCATCAATGATGAATAATAAATTTGAAGATTAATTATCATTAATAATGAATGCGGTCTCATCATTTTGACGGGACATGTCACAAATAACTGAGAAAGTACTAATTAATGAAGTTTAACACTTTACGAGCATGTGACCTGGGAATGTGAATTTAAATGTGGATTAGCAATCATATCTCTCAGCAATAGTTTCCTGAAAACTTAATTTGAAATATTTATTATTTTTCTGTAACATTAAAGCTGCTATAATCAATATTTTTATATTAACAATGGATCAAATGGCTATGTATAATGTAAAAGGTGTCACTTATAGCGACAAACTTACAGAGATTCACAACTAGTGTCTTTCAATTCATTGTTTTGGTTTTCAGGTCTGCAACTTTACTGTTTTAGTTCACTCTCACCGCTCTCATTATTGCTATTTTAGGTCACACGCTCTAAAAAACCAGCTGTCCGCTAAAATCGGACAGACAAAGTTTGCGGCTAAGCGATGAACATAGTGGAGCGTTTAGCAGCTAAATGACCAGGCCCTCAGGAGTTAGCAGTGACCAAAAAGAGTGAATATTGGATTTAAAATCAACAGGTCGTCGTGAACAAATTCCAGATAAAAGCTAAAGTTGCTCCATATCTGCTGGAGGTAAAAAAAAAATAGGCAGCTGTCAGCTAACAAGCCATAGCAACATAAAAGATATGTCTTCCCTCAATTGGCTGAAAAATGAGTTACCACAGGTTTAAATATTCAAGAACAAAACGAACAACCCCATGACTGTAAGCAGACGTTGCTTCAAAGGCTGCCAAACTCTGACTGAAAAACATGGCGTCACCTCTTTCCAAGCCTCATCTACTTTATATCTGTGAGAAAGGCAAGGACGAAAACTCAAACACAGAAACCTCATCACTCACACTAAGAAGCTGAGTGACAAAATAGGTCCAGGGTCTTTAACTCTTGGTTTCTAGCTCGAAGAATCTTCTGCTGTAAAGTGTTTTTAACAGAAACGGAGCTTTGTCAGGACTGAATAGAAAATGAACTGTTTACTTGAGATATACTGCAGATGTATCACCATGGAAAGAGAAGTGCTCATAAAAATGTAATAATTAGAGAGTGCGAGGAAAAAAAAACCCCACCACACTGTATTCAAATTGACTACCATAACCATCACTTTCATAATGTATGTATCACATTGTATGATTCTTAATGTCGTGATTATTGTTTCTGACGATCTGTGCCCATAGAGATCATCCCACTGCAGGCTGCTGGTAAGTGCAGGTGGTTTTCACCACAGCTTTGAGCTAGCAGAGATGCAGTGCAGTCCTAATGGACATGCAACACCCCCAAAACCACCAAGGTCCTGTGAACACCTCCTTGTGTTTCCTGTAAGCTTCAGATGACAGACAGACGGAGACAGGCTGACAGGATATTCTTCTTTACTTTTACAAGGATTATTAGTTATTAGTTATTCCAAGGCTGATGAACACGTAACAAACAACTATTGCAGGCAAAAAATGATCAATTTTTGCCACAGATTTATCAATGCACTTATGTCATTGGCAAATGCTGGTTAACTTAAAGAAACGAAATCAACATATAAATATTTAACTCCAGTGGATGTGAGGGCGGTGTTTAGAATTGTTATCTTGAAAAATAGGACAAGGTGCAAAGAAAGAGAAGAAAAAGGAAAGTAAGGGGGAGAAAAGAGAAAGAAGAATGTGGGTGGTGACGTGTAGGACATAATCTATTTTTGTATGTCATAGTCAAGGGGAACATGTCGTTCAAATCATTCCAATGTACCACAAATTATCCTCAATTTACAGAAATCTGAATGAATGTACGTGATCTTTATAGTATCAGAAACACTGTGTTACTTTCTTGTTTCGAACTTCAGGTGCGGCTTTGCTACCGTTCACATTTTGGCATTCAGTGCTGCTGTAAGGTCCAATACACAAGCTTAACATGGCTTTATTAGTATTCCTCTAGCAGTGGACATGAGAGGGATCAAAAGTCACCAGGGAATGGTTAGTAGATAAATAGCCAGTGCCAGTAAAGGTAATGGTGATGTGGCCTCTAATGATTACTGTTCATATTGAGAGCATCCACACCTGGAGGTTTACAGTGTTTGTAGTGAACTATGAACGTGTCCAGCTCCAAACAAGAACTCACACACACACCCACTTTGTACTGTCTCAGGCTCATAATGCATCAATACAGTACACAGAAATAAACTGTTAATATTACCAACACCTACCTGTACTGGGAAAACAGATATCAGTTGTTTAATTAATGCATGGAAATGAACAGCTCTTTGCCCATCAAGGTTGGAGGTTTGTTTCATTGTTGTGTGTGAAAAGTGATGTAGTTTTTCCTCCAGCGTAATATTCATGAGATATATATATGTGAATACATATATGTGCACACAGTAACAGTACTGGTTGAAAGAAAGCATTCAAATAGAGAGAAATGAAAGTAATCTTTGATATTGTATACATAAATGTCAATTTTAATACCATCTCCAAACTAGACAAACAACCTTTTACCAAAACTTAAAGCTGCTATAATCAATATTTTTTTATGTCAACAAAGGAGCGAAAGCTCCACCTTTCACATTACAGCATGTGTGATGTGAAAGGTGTCAAACACACAGAGAATTATCACCTAACTCTGCAGTTCCTGTCCATTCTACAGAGATTTATATCACCTTTTATATCATTGTTCTGGTCTTACAGCGTACAACTGTACTGTTTTGGTTCACTCTCACAGCTCTAATCAGTGTCTTTTCAAAGGCAGCTGCTTTCAGCAAAAAAAATAAACAAACAATAAAACTGTACACTGCTTGTCCAACAGCAGAAAAACAAAGTTAACAACTAGCTGGTGAACATAGTGCAGGATTTAGCAGCTAAAGGACTAGATATTTTCTTCAGGGTTTGTTGGGGATTAAAACTCAGGAGCTAAAAGGAGAGTGAATATTTGACTTGTGATCATCAGGTGCCAAGAAACACGACTCCAAATGAATGCTAATGCTGCTCTGTGTCTGCTCAAGGTTTAAATAAGCCACTCTTTGCTAGCATGTTTGCCCCTCAACTTTATAAGGGGAGAATATTGCAGGATTGTATTTGCATCTTGTTCCGCTGCCACCAAGTGGCCAAAAAACTGAATTACTGCTGGTTTAAATAACACATTTGAAAATTCTGTTCTCAATTTTCACTTTTAGCACATAAGCCACTTGTGAGGAAGAGACCAAACAGAAACTTTGTCCATAGCATGATGTTGTGTTAACATTGATTTGATTAATGTTTTTGAGAGGAGACTGTGCACACATCTGATCTGTAAAATTTAATGTAACAGTAGCATGACACATTCAAGGAATCATTTACTGACATAAAAAGGGAAACATTTATTTTGGCCAATAGGTTGACACTAATGTTCTATGACTTGCAGTGATGCTGTGTAATCAGTGCACACATGAGTCAGTATTTTTGAATTGTGGAAAATGTCTCTTCATGACTAAGTGATAGGTTTAAGATGCAACAGCTCTATCCTGTAATGAAAGAAGAAAAAGAAAATACTGTTAGAGAATAGAGCACGCCATAGTCCAGAGGAAGAAGCAATCCCTCCCGACAATCCAAGCAAATGCAACTTTTGGCCAAACATTTCTACAGCAGTCCCGTGAGGCCTTGTTTGACATGAACACCTCAGTTTTGTTGGCCGTCAGTTTCTTTGCTGTGATGTGTTTCCTCCTTTAGCTCGTTCTGAGGGTCCGGCTTCTCTTTATCCACCTGCGCGTTCGACTCCGTGCAGACTTCATCTTTCCTCTCCTCCTCCTCCTCCTCCTCCTCCTCCTCCTCCTCTGTCGTCAGCTCGTGCAGCTCTGACGTTGCTCCATCAGCAGGAGGTGGAGAGAGCTCAACAGTGATCTGTGTCAGGGAACCGGACTGTTGCTTCTCTTGTGTGTTACTTGTGGAGATGAGTTTGCCATCTTCGGCGGGCTGCTCTCTTTTACAAACCTCCCTCCCCTCCTCCAGTTCTGTCGCAGTCCTTACCTGAACATTTGGGGCGTGAGGCACTTTGGGAGTTTTAGGAGCGCTGGGCTGGTCCTTAGTGGGGTTCGATGGGGCCTTAAGTTCGATTTCCTTTGAAGCTTTCGGTTGCTGTGACTCTGTTTCCTGCTCTGGCTTTCGAAACTGTTTTCTGAGGAGAACGATGACGGCAATGATGAAGAAATAGGAGGAACCGCTGAGACAAGTGATCAGACCCAGGAAGATGATCCTGAAAATAGAGACAAAAGATGAACAGAAGGCAATAAAGGGCAGAAATCTTTATTGTTATGGTGACTTAAGTGGTGGAAATAGTAATAATACCACACACCTTTGAGCAAAAGTCATATTAGCAATCACGTTCTATTTCCACATTTGTAGTCCGTGGTGTACCTGTACATTTCAGAGTCATAAATGCGACATGCGCCCCTGCCCCCACACTTCTTGATCGACCACTTCAGGCAAGTTGAATCAATCAGGGCCCCAAAATACACTGGTGCAGGAATTCCACCTACAGACAAAGTATCACCCAGATGTGTACTGTTACAACACTGAAGTACAGACAAATATTGTGTTCCTCAAACACATACCAAACTAATACAAAACTTTGCACTCACACAAGAATAAAGGTGACAGAGGCAGTACTGACACTGAAAACCAAAATAAATCCACAGTTTAAAACCAAAGAATTGCACTTTTCATGCAACTGAGCATAGTGAGGCTCACCAAGAGTCCTGGTTACCAAGGCCTGCATACCCAGCGCGAGCGATTTGAGCTCTGGTGAGATGCACCTGCGATTACACAACAACACAAGGTCACTTATATCAATCATTATATAGAAAACTATTTTTTCCCTTCGACAATAAGAGTCTTCAATATGCATTGAATTTGTTATGTCACTGTAATCCCATCAAAACAATGATCTGAGGTTGAAATTATAAGAAAATTATTTAAAACTGTCATTATTTCCCTCTCAGGCACACAGACCGTATGATGACCATGTATCCAGGTGTGGCTCCCAGAGAGTTGATGAAGGAGCTGAGGACAGATACAGCCATGTAGGAAGTGAAACTGCGGCTGCAGTCCTTGGCATGGGGACACTGGCCCAGCTTCACTGATGTGCTGCTGCCCGCTGGGTAGGAGGCAGACACGCAGCTGCAGTTGTGAAAGACCTGGTAAAATAAAAAAGGACAAACAATGCAATGCAATGTAGTGGGAGAACACTACAAAATCACTTCAGTAAAGTACCATCCAGCAATATACCTTATACCATCATTTGGATAACACTAGAAGAGTTGTTTTCCCTTTCACTGATTTCGTACACTTTACAGAAAGAAATACAATAAAATAATAGATGTGCCCAGTCATTAAATTGAAGTCTTTACTGGAATGTAGTAAATAAAGTAAAGTAAAACCCCTAAATACTGAGTGACCAAGTAACTCATCAGTCCCAAATATCTTCCAACACCTCGCTGAATAGCACGTTTACAGTGGACACGATGTTTGTACGTTCTTGTGTGTGGCCTTACTGTGTTCTTGCCGTATCCACTGGAGCTGAGGCAGCCAGCCATACACGGAGAGATGTAGGTGATGCCGCTGTCTGAGCACACAGGGTCCCACTCCTCTGCCGAACATGAGCAGTCTCTGTTACACTCTGAGAAGAGCATTTCACTTTCGTATGATGTACTCGGCGTCCTGCAGGCCGAAGATCATTTACATTTCATATTAGAATAATAAAAAGGGTTGACAGTAAAGAACAATTGAAGAAAATATAAATGCACATTTATTTTGAAGCTAGAAGATTCATATGTTACATTATTTTGGTTTGTTAAAGCTGTAGTCATCTCCATATACCCCTCATGTCTCAGCACTCACCCATTGTATGAAATGGTGAGGCCAGCCACGGGAATGTTGTCACACTTGGTGCCAAACTGCAGCAGCAGGAGGAGGTATGCCATGAAGGACGTGGCAAAGGAGAGCTGAGCTCCTGACACCACACTCAGTTTGTACCTCTTCATCAGCAGCCCTCCCAGGAAGATCCCCACTGCCACCGCTGGCAGGTTCAACACACCTAGAAGAAAAACTCACAGGGGTCTGGACACTGGGAGGCTGTTTGTATGTGAGTGTATGAGGTCTGACAGCATCATGAGCCATCAGGCATGGCCGACTCAAGTTCTCAGATGACTTTTGACCTTTATAACTTCATCAAAAAGATGGTTTTTGGTATTAAAACCACAAATATCTTTTTTTATGGATATCAATGAATAAAACACTGGAAAATGTAAAACATGGGACTTTTAAAATGAGCCGTCATGGGATGTAACTTTGTGACATCACAACTATACAGTCACTGCCACAGATTTGGTAAATATATAGAGTATATGTGTAACATATGGGAGCTTTAAATACAATCAGACATTTAGCCTCGAGTGAATTAATGAGTTCTTGGCTCTCCAGTGAGAAGTGTTCACCCTTTCTTAACATCCCAAAACACATTTTTGATTGGTTTGAGTCCTGATCCACTGTAATCCACCAATAGGAAGTCACTGTATTAGCATGCACATGAATATTTACCATAATCAAACTTGTGTAATGTCTTTGAGTTTTTGATTCCCAAGCTGGAGAATCCATAGCTTCTAAGATTACAAAGAATTACAAGTGGTAAATCCACCATAATTATCACTGTAATAACAGTAATTAGGCAAACACCCAATTGTTTTAGACTTTTAATGATGGCGCATGTCTGGGGTTACAATTTTGTGGTTTGAATCAAATGAGAAATCCATGTTTCCTTTTTTATCCATTATGTTGTATTTTTCTTCTGTTCTGATAGTTTAACTAGTCTACATGCAGTTACAGTTCTACCTACCATTAGCTGACCATGTATGATTGTGCAGTATACCTCAAAGTGTGAGAAGAGCACAGTTGGAACAACACGTGCATTTTTCTCACCTATAAGGAAGTTGGCTCTGGATGCAGACTGTCCAAACTGTTGTTCCATGTATTTGGCTTTGAAGGTGAACAGGCCGATGAAGGAGTTGAACTTCAGGACGCTGCCACACAGGAGCAAGAAGTAGGCAGGAGTTCCCAACAGGCGTTTCAGCGACGGAAGGAACCCTGTAAACAGACATCCAGTCAAAATACAAGCAAAGTAAAAAAAAATCTGTTCTAAAACTGAGAGGGAAATGTGTCAACAGTGTTCTGTCATGAAGAGGAAGACTGTCTCTACTGCACCTTTTGCAATTTCAGTAAACTTGAGGTTGTGGTTGTTGTTGAGGGCATCATCTGTCCCATCCAGGGTCTCCTGTACTAGTGTTGGTTTGCCCTCATCTCCCCCCTGCTTGGGCAGTGAGCGGGGCAGGAACCAGAATGGGATGCTGGAGATGAGCAGGAGAGCAGAGGACACCAGGAAGCCCATCCACCAGGCACCCACCCAGCGGGCATCTTTAGGAGTGATGGTCACACTTTCTGCAAGAAAAGAAAAATTTTCAAGTGAGTGCAGCAGGAAGCCCCATGTGTGTGTATGTGTTGTAATTTCAATCTGCCACTTCAGTGACCATATTGGACACCAGACATTTATTTGGGAAAGAGTAATTTCGTCTTAATTAGTAGGGATGGGACACTGTCTGGTAGCCACACTGCGCATTTAAGGTGGACTGATTGAGCTTGTGTGACAACTAAATTACAGATTTTACCTTATCTACCCATGAGAGTCCAGACAGTTCCTCACAAGGACACTCAGGGAGGTCTGTGTAACCGGTTCTTACAGGTGTGCAGCCAATGTTTATGGTAGTATGTCGAACCTTTGCGCAATAAGCAGTAGGCTTGGTCTAAATTAGGCTGAACCAAAGCTCCAGCCAGGGTCACCATGTCTCTTCTGTCAAAAACACTTTTGAGGCAAAAAGCGTTCTTTGGTGTCCAAACCAGTACACCAATGTTGAATACAAAACCATTGAACTACCCTCTTTGTTACTGTTGCTACACTTGTCAAGCTTTCCATTCTTGCATAGAGCATACTGGCTTAAATCAACAATGGTGGCACATTTACCGCTATGAATCTTTAGTTATTTTTGTAACTAGGCCTTCTTTTCAGTGTCCCGAAGGCTTCTCCTTTATAGCTGATGACTGTCGGTCAGCTAGCTAGCTAATCAATCTTATGTTAGCTTTTACAGCTAACCAGAAGTCCGGACGTCACGAAACCAAGCTTGCAATGAATTAAGCACCTGTGCTGCTATGCTAGAAGGTTTTTTTATGGGAACTGTAGTTATTTCTGTGCTCACACAGTTAATGTTATTTTACTTTGTTAAAATCACAAAGTTTCAATTTCTTACAGCGACATCCACTACAGCAGCTGGTGCTGAAATAAATGTTAAATGACATCAGTTTACAGAAGAAAAAAGCTAGCGCCATCAAGACCTCACCTCTCTTTCATCTCAAGTAACAAACACATTACACTCACCCATATCAACATATCCAATGTCAACATATAGTTTGGCACAATAGGAGCCCAGGAGGAAACCAAACATGGGGCCCAGGAGAGTAATGGTCTGGAGACATGCTGCCAATCACAAAACAATCAGATTAATATTTGGTACAATGTGGTCTAGAAAATACCTTTACCTTTGTCTGATAGCAACTTTTTATATCATTAATGTGTCATTTTTAAGGAATGATCAGTTTGTTGAGGGAATATTGTACATATCAGACCCTTTCAAAATCCCACTGGAAACCCCTAATAAGCAATAATGTCTTACCTATGTAGAATGGTGAGTTTTCAGCTTTAGCAAAGTCATCGATGTAGGCGATGCCCAGAGGTGTGACTGGGGTCTCTCCAATCCCCCGCAGAGCGTTCCCCAGGAACACGTAGATCCACATATTGGAACCAGACTCTTTCACACAAGCTGCATAGTGACACATACACTAAGGATTCATGATATTTGTTCTGTTACACAGATCTAGTGAATTACGATTGTTGTGGTCATTTAATCAATAACAATGTTTAATCTTAAACTGTCACATACCAACAGGGAAATCTTCTGTCATCACATAAGCTTTTATATTATACATGTAGTTGTTTCAAACCACCACTTCAGTGTGTGTGGACTGCATTATTCACAGATTCATATGGAAATTCTGCATGTTTGTTGCATGTTTATCTAAAGGTTTAATTAAAAAAAAGAAAACTACATCAAACTTAGAGGACCACTTTCTTTATTCCCCTCATGTGTCCTTCAGAAAGAGGAAATGATGCCGGCTAACTTAAACCAGAGGTATGAAGTATACAGGTATACAGTTTGGTGTTGATTCGTTTTAAGAGGACGTGGTTTTAGGATTGAATCCCACCGAATTGTATGCAACTTCCATATTGTATTTCTTTGTAAATGCATCTCATTTGAATGGCTGAACTGGATCAATACGTTGCATTCTGTGGGTGCATGAGATGTTGTAAGGTTGTATTTGTATTGCATGTTGGCAACTTTGGTTTAAGGACGTTAAGAATGTGAACCTTAGGTAGGCTGCTGACCTTTGGGGGAGCAGGATACCAAGGAGTCTGTCATACATCTAAGTTTTATGGTTATATTGGTGTTTATGAGTTTATCTACATCCCTGCAGAGATTCAGTGATGCATTCACTTCTAGGAGGATATAAGCAATAAAAGTGAAACAGTAAGAGAAAGGTCTTGAGGTTAACGGATGATAGTTACCGTGCCCAGATCAAGTTAGGATATAAGCAGCTCAAGTTCTGTCATTCAGTGAGAGACTTGGTGTACCCAGCACCAGATCTGTCCTCCGTGCACGAATAATCCAACCAAATTGAAGTGTTAACTTGTGGGTCTGATTTGTACACTTTTCCATCTCTCGGTCACAAGAAGTCATCTTTTCAGATGTTTTTGTGAGAATAAGAATTAATTATGGCTCAGCAGCAGACAGGCTGAAGTACCATTTCAACTGAAGCTCATCTCAGGGAAGAACAATTAATGGGAGCAAAACAGTTCTGAACAGATGTGCATCCAAGTTGGATTTATTACCATATATATTAGAGATGTCTGCTTTCTCCTTGACGTTGTAAGACCTGATGATAACACATATTCACATATTATTCTCCCTTTCTCTTTCTCTTTTCCAAATGAGCCCTTGTTGGCTTGCTCTGCAGACTGATCACTAGCGCTATTGACATGAGGCCGTGAATACGCTGAATTCTGGAAGTTTTGACTTCTCAGCCACCCAGGGAGTGTTGCTTTGCGGTTGTTACGTTCAACGGTTCCAGTTGTCGAGCAGTATGTACACTGCACAGGAGGTGAACGGCTTTGAAGGTCAGACCAGGATCAGTGCATTCCAGGGATGGTTTAAACAAAGCCTGTTGTTAAGGGTTTTAACCAAGACTCTTTGTATGTATGTCCCTGTTGACTAGAGGGAAAGTCAGGGGATAACCAAAGTAAATAATCCATCCTCTGGGGACCATGAATGTCGGCACAAAATTTCATGGTAATCTATCCAATAGTATTTGAAACAGACCAAAGTGGTCGACCGACTAGCAGACCAACATTGCTACTGAGAAATGCCTTCAAGACTACAAACTGATTGTGGTAGCTAAAGTTGCACCAAATGGCACAGAAATAAGTGTGTGAGAGTATTTTCTTGCATTAGATGTAGATAATTAAACAGCAATTAGAATTATTGGAAATCATGATGAAGGCCTTCACTTTATCCCAACATTTAGCCCACAGTCTTACCTTTGTTGTCCTCTAAAGAAGGCTCTATCTGAATTTCCGGTACTTCCAGTGTTTTCAGAGGGTCCACACAGGCAGCGATGTTCACGCTGTCATTCTGGAAAACCTGAATGATCGTGTCATACTTATAGCTGTGAAAAAACAGCGGTGCCACAATTAAACAATTGGATTTTTTTTTTTCAGCATTATTGTTTGAGTCGAGTGTTTGTTTAAGTGTACCGTCCCATGAAGAAGTGGGTCAGGCCAGTGAGAAAGGCCCCCACCGCCATGAGGAAACAGCCAATGGCAATGAGCCTGGGCCGATGCAGCTTTGCACCAAAATGGCTGACCACAGCGAGGAACAACAAGTTGCCTACCTCCAAAAAGGTGACCCAAAAAGAACGGGAGAAAAAAAAACATTTAGAAAATCATCAGCTACAGAGTCAAACTGAAAAAAGGAGGTGGAGAACAAAAGTGAGCAAAGATTAGAGTTAGAGTTACATGGTACCCATCTCAAAACTGCCATCTATGAGTCCAATGTGGGTGCTGGAGAGGTCGAAACGTCTCTCAATCTGAGTGATGGAGCTCTTCATGTAGGTTCCTGTCAGGGCCTTGGAGAAATAGGCGAAGGAGAGCGCCACAATAAACAACTAGAAAACAAATAGGAAGGAGAAATATTAGCATACTGTCACCTGAATACTACACTGTAAATCTACTATGCACTATACAAGGTCTGATTTTACTTCAAAGCTCTGACTGTGGGTACAGATGTTATTACATTGCAGCCTCCACTGCTTTACTGCTGTGCGTGTGGGCACCCTGGAGGTTCTTTATAACTAAATTCATTCCCATCAGGGATTATTGCAGTTCTCCTGCAGGTTTTGCTATGTACAGTTTGATGTATTACATTGTATGGCTTTGATTCGTAAGGACATAATAAACAATATATTTTGGCTTGATTCTGACTACTTTTTGGGAAAGCATATCTCTACAAATTGCCCCCAAAACAGATGTGAGTCTCATATTTTAAGCAAATACACATCCATCACCTTTACCAGCTCAGCCTGCAGGGTCAAAGGGGGCACTGGCGCCTATCAATCCCACATTGGTGAGAAGTAGGCAGGTTTTCAGTCTAACATAAGGCTGACACATATACACAGTATACACAGTAGTATGGGTCATTTAGAATCACCGATTAACCTAGAAACTAAAACCTCCATAACCGAACGCAAGCAGGGCCAAAGTTTGAACCCAGGACCTTCCTGCCGTCAGGAGAGAGTGCTGACAACTGCACCACCACGCTGCCTTTTAGGCTTTTAACTGATGGGTTCATCAATTGCAATTTACAATTCAGAATGAATTTCAGCCAATGAGGAAAAACAGATCCACATAACCAGCAGAGAAGTGTTGACTATACAGGTGGCTTTAGTACTTTGAGAGTGGAGATGCCAGCACGTTTGCTGGTCTTCTGGTCCGGGGCACACAGAGCCTGCTGGCTGGTCATCTTGCCCCTGTCCTCTGCTGCTTCTTCCATCCTGCTGTTCCCTCAGTGTTTGTGTGCAGGTGTATCTACAGGTACCAGCCCCCCAGGGCACTGCAAGCAGGTAAAACAATACAGTATGTAGTCAAAAGAGTTTTGAGTTACTTGTACTTTCTTTTTTTTATTTCCATTTTACACTACCATATACTTCTACCTCAGCACAGCTAGAGTTACTTGTTACTTTTTAGATAAAGATATTACAGTACAAAACATATGATGAATATACGTAAACATTGTTAGAAATTAAAATACCTAGCACCACCTTGACCAACTACTATTATATAAGCACATAATTATTCATTAATATGATATTTAACACTATAACAGTAATGATTAATTTAACTTTTGATTCTTTCAATGCAGGGCTTTTATTTGTAATGTAGTGTTTTTTACAGTGTGCTATACATCAAACAATTTTTTTTTTTTTGCTTTTTGAAAATATATTTATTTTTATGTGAATTGGCAGTTATTTGATTAATGATTAACTTCTAACAGACATCTATATTTACAATTATCACAATCCGTAATATAACCCTGGTAAACTATCACAGCCTAAACCTCAGATTTTCAGTAATGATTAAAAATGAGAAAAACATTATGATGCGTCGACTTGTTTTTCTTGTACTCATTCAGTCATTGAAAACACTTTTCCTCAAGTGCAAAGCCAATCCTGTCAGTTCAGACTCACATGTGTGTGAAGTGAGTGAAAACAGGGGACCTACAGAACCAGACATCACCTGTGTAAACTCCACCAGCGCCCTCTCTTCACAGTCCTCTCAGCTCAGGAAACGTGACGAGCTTCAGGTTGAGTCCATATCACAGAGAAAACCGGCTTCCAATGACAGCTCTGTTTTCATTTGTCCTGGGTTGGAGGCGGCAACAGAAAGACATTTTCACCTCCTAATTACAACTATCCACATCAGGTTTAGCCTGGTTAATACTCCCCGCCAAAGCCAGTGGCATACATCATGTAAACAAGAGATTTGGCCTAGATAGAAAAATCTATTGCAAAACAACTACTGAGGAAGTTTAATAAAATACCTAGTGCATCTCCAGGCCGAGGGGGCTGGAGTCTCCCCTCTCCTCTTCTGCTCCTCTTTTAGCGGGAGACAGACCTGTTCTCCCCACACTCCTTTTCTCCTGTGCGAGGGCAGAGCTGTTACTTGGAACCAGCGGGACAAAAGGCCTCGCACATTTTTATTCCACACACATGCCAGCCAGAAGGGGGACAGCAACAACAGAGCAGGGGGGAGGGCTGAGGGGCTGAGGGGGAGACAGATTAGTAACTCTAAACTAGGCCCTTTGGTTTTTTTTTTTTTTTTCTTTCTCACAAGGTAAAATAGCAGGTGCTTGTTGCTGTTACACAGGATTAAGCTTTTTATGTTTGTGTAGAAAGTAACTAGTCAGTGTCATGAATGTCCACACTGCCTTTCATGCATCAGCTGACTGGATGGCTTTGATGAAGACCTACATAATGCTATGTTCTCTCTCTCTCTCCCCCCTCCCTACACTCCTCTCTAGCTTTCCGTTTGCCCCTCTCTCAACCCCACCAGTCAAAGCAGACGGCCGCCCACCATGAGCCAGGTTCTGTCCAACGCTTCTACCTGTTCAAAGGGAGGAGTTTTTTCTTGCCACTGTCACCGAGTGCCTGCTCATGATGGAATGTTGTGTTTCTGTAAATTACAATATTAATCTTATATAAAAAAGTCCTGAGATAACTTCTGATGATGAGGATTCGGAGCTGTATAAATAAAACTAGCCTTGACTTGACCTCAAAGGTGGAACAGTGTGTTTCGCCTAAACGTGTCAGGCAATGCTCTTTTAGTCCAGTTACCTGTGGGGCGTTCAGGGAGCCGGGCAGCAGGTCACACAATCAGCTTTGGCCCCTCACAAATTCCAAGGATTAAGATTTAGAGTTGTCACATTCCTGCACAGCAACAGTGAAGGAGGTGTTTACCACTTTCACTCTCTGAAAAATTATACTCAGCTCCTGAATTGTGCACTTGGTGCATTGTACATGCCTGTTGTCACTGTATCTAGTTTCAGGTACATCTAGACAGGAATGCAGGATGTTACTATCACTATTTTTTGTGACTTCAGGCACATTGATTTTTTTAAACTCTACAATATAAATGTTCTAATTGAGACTGGGTTTAGTTTGTAAAAAAAACAAAAACAGTGAGGCGCTCTTAGTGGCCTTGCTGTGGCCATGCAGCAGATATTTTTGTTCTATAGAGAACAAGTGCAATGTCTGGTTTCACCTAGTGGTGAAACCAGACATTGCACTGCCTTGCAGGTTCATTCACACATGACATTTGATTAAATTGCAAGTGAATTACTAAAATCATAAATGCAGTTAGGATATCATATAATTTCCATTCAAAGCATAAAATAGGAAAGTTGCAAATCAAAATCTTACCTAGGCTGCACTAAAGCAAAGCTCAATTTGTGTCATAAAACTAATAAAGAGGACTACCAATCATAAAATATCATTATCACTGGTCATAACAATTATAATGCATTATATAATATGGTGAAGGTAAATGAACCAATCACTTTTGGTCCAATAAAAGAAAGAGAAAACCTATTCAGTGAAGCACAAAGTAAACACAGACGAACCAAAGTTTGATCAGACCAGTTTATGTAATCTTCTATAACCTTGAACTCAAAGCAGCAAACATTATACCCACTTAATATCAGCACGTTAGCACTGTAATTGTGACAATGTTAGCATGTTGACTTTAGCAATTAGGTTAAAGCACCACTGTACCTACATACAGCCTCCCAGTGCTGTTAGCATGGCTAAAGACTCTTGTTTGTAATTGTTTAGGCTAATGTAGGTTCTCTAAATGGTTTTTACAAAACTTGGCTGCAGCAGAAACATATTGTCACCTTTAATCCAATGTAGCAAACTTATGGAGAAACATTCACTTGGAGTCATGTGGTCAACTTGGCTTTTGATTGAATTCACGAGGGAAATATCCATCTCTTAAGTGTTTTAATGCTCTACTATGTTCACCTGCTAGCTAGTCAGTAACTTTACTGGGAACATAGTGTCCCATGGGTTTTTGGGGCTTTTTTGCTGACCTCCTTAGGCCAAACATGACGCCATGAGAGTGGTGAGAGTGAACCACAACAGTAAAAGTTGTAGGCAAGAAAACCAAAACAGTAGCTGAAAGATGATTTAAAAAAAAGCACTGTTAGCTTTGGTTGAGGGTAACTATAGAGTGAGGTGATATTTCTCTGACTCAGCATTACATGATACCTTTTTATAAGTAGTTATGTGATCTATTTTCAGTATTAAAATCTTGCTTATAGCTGCTTTAAGAGGACGATAGAAGCATAGAGGGACAAACATAGCATAAGGAAAAGAGTAAGGACAGCTATAAAGTTAAGCAGGGGAGACAACATGATAACAGGCGTATTGCAGCATTAGCAGAACATGTTAAAAAAAAAAAAAGAAAATTAATATAAACAATGTATAAATATATTGTGAAAGTTTGTCTTTAATGCTTACAGATATACTTCAAGGACAATCAACAAAATTGTAAAAAAGGAAGAAATAGTGATAAAATATATGGACACAACGCAAACATATCTAAATCAATATATAAATCTGTATTATTAACAATAATTATATATATCAATCAACAACTACAGTGTATAACAGAGTAAAACATGATAGTCAAGTCTGAGTTACACTCCACTCACTTACAGTCCACTGTGCAAGCTACAGTGGACTTTTCCAGACAAACACTGGTGAGTCTGAGGATTATGTGAATGTTCATGACCTTTAGGGTTTGTGTGAAATGATGTGATGTAACAACAAGTGTGTCAAATGTCAGAGAGGTGAGCTATCCCGACATAAAATGTTGCTGCAAACAGTAAGAATAATGTTATCAACCTGACATAAAATAAAACCTTTTTATAGCTTTACTGACCCTTATCCTGCTTTACTTTCCTTGACCCTTGTGTCTGAAATAAAATGGAACTCAAATATGTATCTAGAATAGTCCAACGGCTCCAAGGGCAGATGATATCACATGATAGTCACATTTTTAAAAGAAACTAAGATCCCTTTTATTTTATAAGACAATAATGTTTGTGAGGTTGAGCCACAAGTACAAGTACAATAAACACTATTCAATACATTAAATCTAATGTGATCTTCAGAACCTCACCGTGACAAGATTTTTTTTGTTTTGTCGGTTTTTGAACAGATTAAACAAACTAGCCAGGCTAGCTGTTTCAAATCTTTGTGCGACGCTAAGCTAACGGTTAGCTACCTTCTCATGTTTTTAATCTCTCATCCACCTCCTGGTTTAAAGGAAATATGAATAAAAATACAAAACATTTTTCTTAGGTTACTCATTTGACTCTACCGCATGGCAAACACCTTGGAGCCACAAACTACCAAAGAAAAAGGTTCTGCCTGTGTCCGTCTGGGTCACAGACAGAGCAAAACGTGGTACAGTCAAGTCTGTGTCTTTCACCCTGACAGACACAGGCACACTGTCAGGTATTACTCCTCTGGCCAACCTACTGTAATAAAGTATTACTTTGACTCTCTGAGAGCGCTTGTGTTGCCTTCATGGACTGGATCAGCCTGCAGCAATCACACACTTCACTGACAGTGACTCTGCAAATCTGAAGCACATACTGTAACTGGCAAAAGCAAAGCAAAGCACTGCACTTCTTCAGGTACCATCTACAGTATTTCATCTTTAAGTAAAGGGGCTCTTTCTTGCCACAATAATAGTAATCAATATGTCTATATTCATATATCTTCCTCGTGTATTTAAGTTGATTCATTTTCTCATCTTGTCTAAACTTTACACTACTTGTTTTTTATTTTTATAAATTATTACACTCTCTCTCCACACCTTAACCATCCTCAGTGTCTTCATTATAACACACTTCATTGAGGACAATGAGGATGGCTGTATTATCTCAAACTCTCACCTATAACTGAAAAACGTGAAAGAAAACATTGTCAATAACTAAAAACAACACTTAAGTTGTCTTGTACAAGAATTATATACTGTACATATATTGTATACGTGTTTGCCAGACTGTCACTGCACCTAAATCACTTTGAATGTAAAGCTGTAGGGTGAGACATTACAATCATTTCCTGACCTAATGCTATTCAAGTATAAATAGTGAACACAAGCCAAACGTTCTCCAAATATCTGACATATTCTCACATCTGAATCTGGGCTGATCTGCTGCTTTGTCAGGACCTTTGACCTTTGAAGTGAACAAAAAAGAAATTGACAATTTCGGCACAATATCTGTGTTAAAAAACAAGAGGTATACTGCTTGAAGACCAAAGAGCATTGACACTGTACCATTACCACATTTGGTCCAGTATGGGTGCAGCACAGTAATCAGGCAGTGAAAAATGGTGTATGTGTCATTTCACCTGCATTATACAATAGTGTTTCCCTCCAAAAACAACTTAGATCGTGCTCTCCCTGTCCACGTCTTCTTTGTTTTTGGCAATGCTGATGTTGGCATGTCCATTGACCGCTCCGTTATCCTCTAGTTCATTTTCTTTGGCCTGATTCCTCAGCGCTAACTTCTTCTGTCTCTTGACAATTTTGAGGTAGAGACCTCCCCACAGCATGTTGGACAGGAAGTAGAGTCCAGTAATCAGCCCCATGAATGTCATTCTGGAAGTACAGTATATTGGAGCAGGTTAGGTGAAACATTTACTCTATGTGCAGAAAGTGTATTAGAATATAGGCTATGTTCATGTTTTTGTATATCTAAATTTACTTTGAACTGCTGCACAAAGTCCTCAACATTTCTGTCACTCATGTAGTTGTTAAACATGTACATAATTTAATATTTTCATAGTTATCAATGTAAAACTCAAATTTCCGCCTCACGGTTGTATGCCTCTGCCACTCAGACTAGTTTCAGATTACATCCCTGTTTATCCAGAGTCATACAAAATATGAACCATTTGTGTGAAATTCTGTCATAACTGCTGTGTGAAGTCTTGAGTTATGGCTAAAAAGGGTTTTGCGAGGTAACACTAACCTTGACCTTTGGCCTTTGACCACCAAAATCTAATCAGTTCAACCTTAATTCCAAGTGAACGTTTCTACCAAATTTGAAGAAATTCTTTTGAGGCGTTACGGAGACATGGTGTTCACAAGGCCATAACCACGTTTTGTGAGGTGATCATGACCGTGACCTTTGACCTTCGCCCACCAAAATCTAATCAGTCTATCCTTATGAAGAAGTTCCGTCAAGGCGTTACTGGGATCTCGTATCCAAAAGAATGGGACGTACGTATGGACGGACAGACATCCGAAAACAAAATGCCTCCAGCTCTGACTGTTGCTGGTATGGAGGCATAAAACCAAATCAGACTGCAATTAAATAATATAGTTCCATTAGATGTGTTAACGTAATTTGATTTTCAACTTTTAGAGACACTTTTTGAATCTAAATATCCTGCTTAAATGTTTTAATTAGACATGCTGTGGAGTATTACAAGTAGGCTAGACTTGTTTCACTGTACCTAAAGGCATCAGCGTCATAGAGTCTACACGCTCCTCGGCCTCCACACTGCTTGGTGCCCCACTTCAAACAGGTCCGGTCAATGAGTGCCCCGAAATAAATAGGCGGAGGTATCCCACCTGAAAACAAACACAGTCACATGTGTTTACGCCTGTGCACACAGGCTAAATAGTGTCAGTGGTCTCATTAGAGGCCTGGTCTGTCTGTAGTCCAGTACTCACCCAGAGTTCTTACTATCAGCGTCTGCATACCCAGAGCCAGTGACTTCAGGTCCTGCTGTATGGACCTGAACATGGATCAGAAGTTATTGTATTAGATGTTAATATGAGCATAAGATGCAATATAACAGTTTGGTAGCTTCTTGAAACTAAGCCACCATGAAAACCAGAGATGAACTCTTTCAACAGATGGAAGTGGAGCCAGTGTTTCTAGTAATTTTAGTGTTTCTGACCTGAGCAGTACAATGTATCCTGGCGTGCCCCCGCAGGCAGAAATGAAGGAGCCCACTACGGATAAAGCCATGTAGATTTTAAATATGCGTTCACAGTCACTCTTCCTGGGGCACTGCCCCAGCACTGCAGACATGTTCATGCCTGGAGTCATCATATCCCCAATGCAAGTGCAGTTATGAAACACCTAAAGAGCCAGAGGAGAAAAAATGTGAAAATCAAGACTTTGGTTTCTAAAATTAAAGTGCTCATTTTCCATTTAGGTTTGTCTGATATGGGTTCATGAGTAAATTTCATATTTCAGAGAGAGAGAGAGAGAGAGAGAGAGAGAGAGAGAGAGAGAGAGAGTAAATTCAAATGGACAAAACTTGTTGATTTAAATGATCCCATTGCCCTTTTTCAGCATGTTATTAGTTCAATCTAACGGTTTGATGTTGTGGGTGGGGCAATGAACGGTCTGTAGGAGCTGTGAGTGGGACTTTATCAGTGTCAGTGCTCTGACTCTGCTTGTTTCACAAGTTAATGTTTGAAGATGTAGTTTTCTAAATGTAGCAGAGAGTGTGCTTAAATTTGTAACTGTCAATCAAAGGTGGGCTGACGACCATATGCTTTACAAAAATATAACCAGACATCAAGTATAAACATGTCCTCGGTCTGGTTACATTGCATTCTGGTCTTTGAAAGCACTGTTAGTGCAGAAAGGGGTATCTGTGCTCTCTGTCCTTTTTCCCCTCTCTTTTTCCACTATGATTACTCAGTGTCATTGACAAGTAAAGCTGTCAAACGTATCTGTCTTGTAACCGTGATCTCGTCATCTACATCTGGGCCAATTTAATCTACCAGCTTTATTGTCTCTGTCAGGGGCCGCCAGCTGCTGCCTCACCGTTTCCTTGCCGGTACCGGTGGAGGTCTGACAGCCAGCCAGGCAGGGCGAGGCGTATGTCATGCCGTTGTAGGCGCACACCGGGTCCCAGTGCTTCATTGAGCAGGAGCAGCCCATATTGCACTGTGACAGCAAAGTCTGTTGGTTGTAGGACACCTGGCGAGCTCTGGTGCACACATGAACAGATATCAAATCAGACACAGTGATAGGAATCATTGCAATGCACAAACACCTTCAGTGATCTTTAAACAGTATCTAAGTAAAAAAGGATGGTTTGCATGCCACTCACCCCTGATATGAGACGGTGAGACCGGCCACATCTGCATTTTCACAGTGGATGAAGACCTGAATGGAAAGCATACAAAAGGACCCGAGAGAGGCAGCGATCGACACCCTGGCGGCTCCGATGACGCCCAGCTTGAAACGTTTCAACACAAAACCACCGGTGATGATGCCCAAAGCTACAGCTGGCAGGTTCAGTATACCTGGAGGGATGGATGGATCAATACGCTGGAATTATTTTGACATTATTATTTTGGTCACACTTTTTGGCCATACTGTAATAAAAATGTTATTTACACTGGGTAGCACATAAGCATAGGAGCTGTTGGAGAGAAGAAATACAAAGGAGACTGGGGAATTGTGGCACAATATAATGGATGTCTTTGAAGATATGTTGTTTTAGCTTAGGTCCCAACTTTTCCCATCAGACGCACTCCCACAGTCCTGTCAGATGGAACTGAGGCGCACCATCAGCACCACCTGTCTGTATGTGGATATAAGTATATACACTATTTTTTTTTTCCCCATACAATTGAAATGCCAATGACAAGGTCAGTCTGATCAAGTTTGAATTCATACTGTTACCAGCTGGAAAGGCAGAAGCTGGATGTTTCAGCAATTTATCGGTTACTTACAATACTTACATTGTACAACTATTTTAGCAAGTTTTATCAAACCGTTTTAACTGTTTAATCATTACTTTTAACTTGTTGATATTTTTTCATTCCTTTTAGCTTACTATTTTAACCATTGATCCAACACTTTTATCAATACATTTTAACGATTGATCCTTTAGCCATCTAGTTTAGCAGTTTTCCATTACTTCTTCCTACCATTACATCTATTTCAAATATAAATATTACGCTTACTCAACTCTTCAACCATTTATCCAATACTATTTTATTATGTAACTATTTTAACAATTACAAAATTATTTTAACTCTGTTATTTGAATAGTTCATTGATTACTTTTCAGCAAACTATTTAGAATTCTCTGCTCACTTGTTAACTCAATTTGTGGATTCAAAAAAATATTTTGTTGTTGTCTTTGTTTGTTTGTATGTTTGTTTGTTGGTTGGTTGGTTGTTTTTTAAATTAGTTGATCACCTACACAATCTTCCCATGTACGTCTTGTAACTGCAGAAATACCCCACGGAGTACAAGTAATCCTGGTTGGGAGGTAGAACTAGAACAATAACCCCGGTATCTCGCCATGCAGGTAAACAGTCATAAAAAGTTAATCATAGCTCAAGGTGCTACTTTACAGACACACACAAACACACACACAAACAAAAGGACAGCCCACAGTGAGCTACTTAGTGCTTACATTCAAGTTAACTTTATCTCTCACAATCACACTTCCTTCCTTCTTCAACAACATCATTGTTTCAGTTGCTTTTGGCAACAAAGTGCAGTACACTCAGAGTAAATGGGGCTCAGTACCTATGAGGAAAATGGCCTTGGAGGCTGATTGACCATAAATTTGCTCCAAGAACTTTGGCTTGAAGGTGATCATTCCAATGAAGCCGTTGACGGCCACCAGGTAGGTGAGGATCATCAGTGAGAAGATGCTGTTTTTGAAGAGTCGTCTCAGAGACGGGATGAAATCTGGTGAAAGGCAGAAACACAAAGAGAGATTATGGCTCAACAGCTGTATTGACATACACAATGACTTCCTTATAATGAGCGAATGTAAAAATAAATAAACAGTCAAACTCATTAACTAATTTAGTATCCTCAGGTCTATGCTGACAAAATAGCAGCAGTTTGTCTTATATTTGAGATGGTAATATTAATAAACCTTTCAATTTCATATACCTATAGTATATCTATAGACATTGACAAGGCATATGTTTACACACATAGATTCATTAAGACATGCTTATGCCCATTTATGTTTACTTTTATTACACGTCTCTAGTTTAACTGCTGGACATGTTCATGTCGTCCACCTACCTCATATTTTTTGTATTGCTAAATTTCTGTCATTTTTGTTTGTTATCATAAACTTCTTTTAGTTATGTTTTGCTGGAAGCGAACATTTTGTTATTATGCAATGTTGTGTAATGTACTATGGCATGAGTGGGCCTCTGCTTAGGTAACTGTTTCCACGTGTTTCTCTCTCCTGATATGTCATTCACCTCTTTTCCAGATCGCATGTTGGTTAGTTCAGGAATCAGTGTTACTGGTCTTGGCTCAGGTTTTTCTGGGGTATACCGAGTTAATGATTACACGCATTCACTCTAAAACCTGTCTGACACATTTCTTGGTGTTTAAAGTCTCAGAGTAGGTGAAGCCCTTTTGAGTATTTTAACAAATAGTTGAATTGTGGACATTGATCTTTATAGTAAGCTTGATGCTAAATTGCTGTGGTGCATGAAATAATAATGCAACAGGCTGCGTGGTACCTTTAGCCAGCTGCTTGAACGTGACTGGCCCCTCTTTCTCCTCATGGTCCTGGTTTTCCTCTGGGAGGAAGTTCTCCTGCTCTGCCACTGTGGCGAGTTCTGTGCTCTTACTCTGGCTCTGCTCTTGTCCCTGCTTGGGCAGGGACTTAGGCAGGAACCAGAATGGGATACTGGACAGCAGGATCACGGTGCCAGTTGCTATGAAGCCCAGCCACCAGGCCCCCACCCAGCGGGAGTCCTTATGGTTAATGGTGATACTGTCTGTGAGAAGGAGAAAGGTGAAGACAACAGGTTTTGAAGGGGATAGTTTTTAGAGCAGGATGGGAGCATTCAGTCCACTTGCTGGGGGAGTGTCAACAACTCTAATCCATGCAGTAAATACTGAAATACTCCAACTATGTCAACAAGATGAGATGTTGGGAAATCCTGTGGACTCTGGAAGACCTGCAATGACTCAATGACAAACTGTTTTGCTCTTTAACTACAACCTTTTCCTTGTAGGTTCAAAGGGAGGAATGGTTAACTGTTCTGCAGAAGGGCACTTTGATGGCAGATTTTAACAGAAGGGAGACTGTGTTGCTCATATCAACCAGGTGTTGCCTCTGTAAAAAATAGGTCTGTACACTGCCAATTTATCAGTATAATTATTATCAATCAAGGATAACACTTGTATGAAATGAACATGTAAACCTTACTGGTGCAAGGTGGGATTTTTACTCAAAATTAACCAAAGTACAGTTTAGTATGAGTGATGTGCAGTGTTGTAGTGCCACGTTAAAGGCAATATTAATGTGGCTATCGCTACATAGCCAGCATTAGCATTAACAGTTGATTACTTACCAGTCTAGAAGAAACATTGTGACTTCAGCATTAAATTTTTATTCCTTTACTCGCCCAGATATGTCTCCAGCGGTCTTCTCTTGTTTCGCTTCTATTTCTATCACTTCTTTTCCTCTACTGAAGTTGGCATGTTAACAAGCTAGCCCTGCCTCATCACTTTCTGATACCGAGTCACTGTAGCGTCCAGTCCACCCTGAAGAAGTAGCGCTGCTCAGACGGCGTGTTATAACCTGTCTTATAAATGCAACAGTGGCTGAAGCTCTTACCAACAAGTAAACTGCTGCTAATGCTAACGTCGGCCATGTAGCAATAGCAAAACTTACAAATAGCTCCTTTAAGACATTTGGTACGTTACCTAAATCCACAGATCCAATGTCCACATAGATCTTGGCAAGGAAGGACCCAAGCATGAACCCAAACATAGGTCCTAAGATCCCCACTGTATGGATACAAGCTGGCAAATGTAGAAAAAGAAAGAACGGTTACATATTCGAGTGCTGTGACATTAATCGAGCAGTACAAGACAGTAAGAATTAAAGATCAAAGTGATCTAAGATGGAGGATAATGTAGTTAAGCTCCAAAGCAGCATAAAGTAACTGAAGCAGGAGGAAAGTGTGTAAAACGCCATAAAAACCAGAGACCGCAGGCTGTAAACTGACTGACCCAAATAGAAAGGAGTGTTCTCCTCTCTGGAGAAATCATCCAGGTAGGACACTCCCAGAGGCATGATGGGAGTCTCTCCAATCCCACGCAGCATGTTGCCCAGGAATACATAGATCCACATGGACGAGCCAGTCGCCTTTTCACAAGCTAAAAGGGGAAAATAGACTTAGAATGTGAACTTCTGCTCCTCTAAATGTATTGATTTGATATTATATTTAATATGGACAACAGGCTGCTCACAGTGACAGAAGTGGTTTTCAAACCTGAGGGATCTTAGGTTTGAATTGATTTGCTATTTACCTGTTATAGCCTCTAAATCAGGTGTCTCCTCTGCGTCAGTCATGCTGTGGTTGGACAGACAGGGCAGGATGCTCTCAGTGCTGTTGACGTCTTTGGTGTGAGACACACTCGTCTCGTATTTATACCTGGAAAACATCACAAATGATTACAGGACTCTCCTGTCCAAAATGACACAGCTATGTCCTCTCTAAAAATTGCCAAGTATCTACCACACTAAAGAAGCTTTCAACTAATTTGAAAGCATCATTGTTTATACTGTATCTCGCATGTTACAAATGTCCATTGTTATAGACTACATATTTATGTCATGGAGGCAGGAAAACATAGATGTAGTATAGTTTTAGAAAATGTTTAAAAAAGGGGCCGGTGTTGGGTTTCCCATCCTCCAGCCCTCGACCGAAGCCAGATAATTCAAATGTGGATTACAGGGCAGAGACTAGCTGGAGTTTAGCTGGGCTGAGCAAGCGGCATGACCTATGTCAATCCAGGAAAACATGCCACCAAATGTAAGTGTCTAAGTAAAGTGCTAATGTCTTTTTAACATCAACTTTCAAAATGACCAGCAAGATACACTTCCATGGCTGACTATCAAACGGGAAAACGACCCAGGAGCCGAGGTTTACTGTGTATCAGTTGGTTATGGGGAATTTAATGAAGCTTGTTCAGGAATTTGTTCCACAAAAGCACAATAACAACTAAAGTGGGGCCTGCATTACGTCTGGCCCTGCTTTCTAGAGGAGCTTTATGTCAAATTTTAGTTTTATTTTAATTTACATTGCATTCATATGGGACATTTTCCTAAATGAAGTTCTGTTAAATCAAATTACCGTTGACACATAAAAACCCTGAGGTCTGGTTGTATTATGCCAGCCTCTAGTAGGGGGTATAATTTGGGTCATTGGGCATATAAACTGAAGCATATACAAGCTGGGTAGGGGGCTCAAATTGGGCCCTAATTTTTGCCCCGGGGCCCCAAACAGATTAATCCTGCAGTGTACACATTAGAACAATTAGCCACAGTTTTAATGATATTTTATACCTCTTCTTTTACTTGTATTTTGCAAGGGGGAAATTCAGTTTAATATAACGTTCACAGAATTAATTGTTATTTGATTCAGGCCACTGAGGTTCAGTTCAATATTAAAACTTCTATAACTGTATTACTCCAATTATAATGGATGCAGGATATACCTTAACAAGGCCACAGTGTAAGATAAGAAAAAGTTGAGTATTGATAATACAAAGAAAATTGTGTACTAACGGTCCCTGGAAGAAGTGAGGCAGGGCTATGAGGAAAGACCCAGCAGCCATGATCAAGCAGCCAATACCAATCAGCCTGGGACGATGGAGCTTCGCACCAAAGTAGCTCACAAAGGCTATTACCAAGAGGTTTCCTGGGAAGCAGAAAGATCAAAAATGACTGAATGACTGAATGACTGAATGAATGAATGAATGAATGAATGAATTGTTGCCTTAACATTTTGACAAAAAGGCTTTATGGCTTTCTTGCAGACTTAGATGACTGGAGAGATACTACTGTCATGTCCGTAGGCTAAAACTGAAGCTACTGCCAGTGGCCAGTTAGCCAAGTTAAACACAAAGACTTCAAATAAGGGAAAAAGCCAGCGGAGCTATGTTCAAAGGTAACACAACCTGCCAACCACCACTTCTAAAAACCCTACCTACCCTACCATTCATGCAGATTGTAATCATGAGGAATATATTATGTTTGAAGAAAGTCGAAAGTTGAAGAAGTAGAAGAACGTGTGTATTTGTTAGTGGTTGAGACACCTCAAAAAAGGAGCATTAGTCATTAGATAATCAGAATACAGCCATACCTATAAACCCCATAGAAATATATGAAGCTACATTTCTCTACAGTGCACTGAAAAATCTTTTTTATAATTAATTCTTACTTGACTTTATCTGAAAAATAACTGCATAGTAACCTGTATTTCCACTGGTGTTTTTGTGAGAAATGATAAAACGAGTAACCCTCTGTAACTAACGGCTACATGTAGTATGATACAGAAATGGCTGTATCTCAAAAACTACAAGGAATTATATCAAATTGTTGGTGCCACTGGATTCAATTCAATTTCAATAATGTGTACTTTGATCCAGTGTGAATCTGATATTTAATATGTCAAATGAATGTTAAACTTATTTTTGTGTTTTTTTTTCTTTGTGTGTATAAAAGAAAATCAACTTTGTCTACCAATTAAGGCATGAAAAAACATACTGATTTTGTCATGTGTAGCCACATGTCAACAGTTTCAACAGCAAATCTTGTGTTTCCACCTCCAACAGAAAAAAAACTGTGGGGCTTTTTCTTAACATACTAAATATAGTTGTTATAGTCGTGGTGGGCAGATTTCATTACCTCCAGCCAACTGTTTCTGTCTTTATGCTAAGCTAACCATTTTATGGTAGCTTGATATTTAGCTACCATGCAGACATAAAAGTGGTATAGGGCCAAGTGCAAGAAAGCAAGTAAGCGCATGTCCCCAAATCAAGTTAATTCTTTTAATAGGGAGGGATCCAATATCCAAAAACTTCACATACCCATTTCGAAGCTGCCATCTATGACCCCAATGAGGGAGCTGGGGATGTCAAAGCGCCTCTCGATCTGGGTGATGGAGCTCTTCATGTAGGCTCCACCAAAGGCTTTGGAAAAATATACAAATGCCAGGGAGGCCAGGAAGAGCTGGAAAACACAAACAAGAAGTTTTTGGCTGAAGCTATTCTTCAGTGAAACAGGTTCGGTTAGGGGATGTTGATTTGATTAGGCGTGTTGGCTCTCCTCAAAGGTTTTTGAGTTAGAGGATTAAGCTCCCCCCCCCCCCCCCCCCTTTTTTTTTTGCACTTCCAGTAATGCAATAAAAGGTTTTTGGATGAGGCCTTTTTTTTCTCAACAAAGCTAAAAGGATGTAATTGCACAGGGAAAGGGTGAATGACCATATTATCACACAGACTCCCATGATAGAGTAGGCTCACACACACAACACTTAACAAACATTTAAAGACCTACAGTACTTCACACCAGCCTTCAACATTGATTTGATTACATTCATTTACATTAGATTACAGACTTTTTAAAGATTTGAATAAGAACAGAGTAGTTACTCATTTACTAAATCCCTCCCTTGATCAGCAACTGTCCAATCACAGCCTAGCATGCTGCATCCTGCTTTTGACTCGAGTGGCACATCTGCCACCGTTATCTTTGTAAACTGCCTATGCTCCTGTCAGGAATGGAAACCTTGACAAGCACATTCATTTTAATTAAAAACTTAATTATGAAAAAGCTAATGAGTAAAATATTAACCTACTACACAAAAATACAATTTTACATTAGCAACACATAGATGTTTCAATCTAATCTTCATTTCCACATCCTGTTTGTGAAGGACAAAGAAAGACATATCTTATCACACCTTGTAATGAATAAAAAAATTCTAGTACTTTATTTTTTTTGGAGTTTGTTTGCTTTACCAGTACAAATCCTACTTGTGTGCAGCCGTCAAATTGTTCCAAAGACAGTTAAAGATTAAAGGGATTCACACTGGGCTGCAGGTCACAGACGATTCTGTGAATACTTTTAGATAACTGCACCCACTTGTCTAACAGCTCCACAGGTGACATTAAAGCTCCTCTAGAGTTCAACTTGTTTCTACTTTTTAACAAGAAGAGAGGTTTTGTACTTTCCCGAGGGGGGGGACTAGTAACATTTTGCAAGAAATCAAAATCGTCAAACCAATATTACTTGCTACGTAGAGCTGATAATGCCCCACTTTCTAGTACGGTTAGTCTGTTATCAGCAAACATCCTGACAAAGTGAACCAATAAACACAGCTCTTACATGGTATGTACACAGGTCACTGCAACCATACCACTATTCCCATTGCATGAGCAAGCAAACCCACTTTTCATGGACTGAATGTCTCATTTGGTGTCAAAGCCTCAATAGTTTTATCTGGTCAAGAGAACAATTTGTTAAGCAAGAATGATATAGGTACTTAAAGTTGTAGTCAGTTAGTTTGTTAGTTAGTTAGTGTTATTGCGTGACTTTCAGTGGTGGAAGAAGTTTTCAGATCAAGTGAAAGTCACTTAAGTGAAAGTACCAAACAACAATACAAACTAACTAACTGATCAAGGCAGCGATATTCCAGCAAGTCCGGTGTTCTGCAAGGTAAAATTACTGTTTTTGTCAATGGAGTCTGGTAGTGATGTAACAGCTGCCTCTGGTTAAACAAAAATGATCTGTCTCTTTAACAAAAAAGGTCTATCTCTCTAGGAATCCAATTAATAATGTTGCCACTTATAATAATAATAATAATAATAATGATAATAATAATAATAATATAAGCATATCAATCATTTACACCCAAAATCATGGGAAAATAAGCCCCAAGTTCAAAAGTCCTGAAGTTATCCTTTAATGCTTTACCTTTTTACAGCCCAGTTAGGGTTAGCATTTGTAGGACACAGATAATACTGACATAAAAATGCCATACCAAGACAAATGTGTAGAGATAACGTGAAAGAAACACATTTGGCTTGGCTTTTGGATGTTTGGCTAAGACTAAGTCATTCCATGGTCACAACACAGTCATTAAGACTTGGATATGTATGGAGCAATGAGTGATATTCTCAAACATTTTAATACTGGGAAAAATAAAAACATTTGACCAACCTTGAGCTTGGAGCAGCAAGCTTCACGTGGTTTTTTGGACTCTACACTCATGATGCTGCTGTGTGCTTGACAGATGCAAAGATGCAGAAAACACAGCACCGAAGGACCTGCAGACGGACACCAAGATTATGAGTTTGGGGAAAATTACGTTCAATTCAACTAATTTAAATCTGCAAAATTGAAAAAACAAACTAATGTCTTATTACCAATCTACTAGATTTACTCTTAAATGAGGTTACTGGATATGCATAAAGACTCAAATCTCAGTGTAGCACTGTAAATAATAACAAAATGTAGTCCCCAGCTTTCTTTTAGGCAAAATATACCAGTAATTTACACTACAGCACCAGTAAATACTAAAAAGTTTCATCTTAAATAAGAACTTTGTGCAGAATTAGAAGAGTTCAAAAACCAGTAAAAGTAATTACCTGAGAGGCAGCGGTGGTCCTACGTTGGATGGGAGGGATGTGGTAAAGTAGCTGAGGGCTTGTTGTACTTGGCAGGACTTTGTGCTTAAAGCAAGCGCCTTATCACAAACAAACTACAACATCACCTGTAATCAGTAACCCATCTACTCGTGCACTTGTTGATCATGTCAATAAAAAACCCTGAAACCCAACCAGTCCTCACACACACGCACACACACACACACGCACACACACACACACACACACAAACCCAAACGTGACTGCACTGGTTGGGTAAGGTCCAGTAGGATGCATGTCTGACCAGCACCGGAAGGTTCAGAGGTTCACTGAATGCAAACACACACAGAGGCATTCACAGTTTGCGCACACTCGCACATCCTCCTCTGTGAACATCATAAGCCTCCTGAGTATCCATCCTTTTGAATGCACAACAAACAGCAGCAGCGTGAAGCTGGCCAAAGCTTATTTTACAAGCCTGCTGTTTCTGTTCGTTTGCTGTTTTCAAAGAGTGAAATGCTTTCCTCTTCCAGAGAAACTCAGCTTTTGTAAGACTGGGTGTTTCCTTGGCTTGATCAAAGTCTTCCTGTCCTATTGATAGCCACAAACAATGGCTTTCTCTGTGTGTCCCAATGCCCGAGAAACACACATCAAAATATAAACACAGTATATAAGATATTCATTATAAATACTCATTTTGACATTACAGCTGCAGCAGCTCCACAATGTGGGATTCTTTGCCAGCCAAATTGTTATTGTCATCATTTTTGTGTAAATTATTTTTGTAATTCATAACTTCATTGAAATAAAGACAAATCTAGAGTTGAATCTGAAAGAGCCAGTTCACCAAAACTATTTTTTTTTAAATGATTTTTTTTTTTTTTTTAATTTTCTTTGTCAATACAGATTTTTGACAGAAGAGAGCCCCTGCTACTGCAGATAACCCAGGGACCGCAATGTCCATGGTTTTAACAGGGATTGCGTCTTCCATAGAAATCTGTTTACAGTGAAGTTCTGGATTATTTAGAGTAACAAGAGTATTTCAAAACCTGCATAGATAAAACCAAAACTGTCTGCTTGGCTAAATATCACCACTATCAAGAAGCTATTTTTTGTCACTTGAATGAAACGACCCTAACTTCCAGACGAAATGTCATTGGCACAGAAGTGATCAAAGCTACAACAGCGTTGCTGCCGCCCGGGTGAAAAAGTGAGAGTAAAGTAAATTTACTTTAGGGAGGCACATTGTGTTTTATGAAGTTGAACTAACTGCACTGACAGAAGATGCTTACTACAAACTTTGGTGATTAGCTAATGATTCACTTTATTTGATACTATTAGTTTTGAATAGAGAACAAAAACAATCAAATATCAATTCATAATCTACTAAATTTAGATACATTAGTTTTTGATTTGGAAATGTAATGGATACGTTACATAATCATATATTCTTGGCTTTGGTCTGTGCTGTCTGTGCTGTTAACGCAGTATATCACAGCTTCTGCACTCACAGCTGGTGATATGCTTGTAAGCGTAGTGTCTGGTAGTGTGGTCGGAGCACTGCAGGGTCACTGATCTCCTCTCTGAGCGCCGCTCTTGACAGGTTCTGCTCTTCTGCTCCACCTGTAGGTCACCATGCAACACCACGCTGATGCCGTGGACCGAGTGGGGAAGAAAGGAAGGGAAGCAAGAAGGAGGGGAGAAATGTGTTATTGTAAGCTTAATCAGACTTAATCAGGAATGACACATCTCCTGCTGAGTCCTCAGTGTGGACACTTATAACAGACCTGAGAATGTGTTCACTTACTCTGTCATAACTATTTCTATTGACCAGTGATAGATTTCTTCTCACCTGGGCTGAGACACACACTGGCCCTGACACACAGGCATTTCTATGATGGTGGTACAGTTGTCTATGGTGATGTTGAAGCTGGACACCTTGGGAGCACAGCTCTGATTACCTAAAGGTGAAGAGGTAAAGTTTAAATTTTAAACAGTCATGGCTGTTAATTTGTACAATTTGAATGTGCAGCTACTAATTGTCCAATAGGACCATATACATGTACTGCGCCAGGGTTTGGACAAGGTTAGTGTATTGTTTGGGTAATGTTAATGTTGACACTCAGGCAACAGCAACAGAGTTGAAGCCAAGTAAAGGCTGCTTGGGGTCCTTTGCTTTTCACAGCATCATTTTAACATCATCTAAATTGCCAGATCAAATAAGTCACTTGGCCAAATTTAGGTTTATGATAGCTTTTAAAAATAACATTGTCGGCTGAGTTGTCCCATTTATTTAAATGCAGAAAGGTATATGAGCTGAAAGGTTGAAATTCAAAAAAACAAAAAGTGAAATGACCTTTCTCCAGCCAGCTGATTGGTTTTGACTAACAGCACATTATTGGTTCTCAACTTACATGTAAAGCAGCAGTGCTGGTTATCCCAAATCCTGTCCTCCTGGAGAACAAATCCACAAGAGCTCATGATTAAAGAAATACTTAATTATGATCCAAGTGCATCAGCTTTGGAGTTGTATTGTCTGAAATCTTAAAGTCACAATGAAATGTGAATTTCTTTTGAGTTTATTTTTTCATTTATATACAACAGGTTTACTTTTACATGAAAAGCTAGCCTTGCTGTGCAGTTGTTTCAGTAGTACCACCAATACATTTTCATAATAAGACAAATCTAAAGCTGGGGAAAAATGCAGTAAGACACACTAGAATAAAGCTCATGAGATTTAGATTTATTAGTTTAAAGAGTAGAGGAGGGGTGTCCTGTACCTCAGGACAGTTTTCCCTGGGACACACTCTAGTCTCAGTCTGAACGCCCTCTTTGCTGCAGCTGAACGACATGCAGGGATGGGTGGCATCTTTCCATGTGTCTCCCACCTACACAGACAAAGGTACTACCATCAAGATATGTAAAAACACAATGTATTGATTCACATCTATCCAAAATCGAATTCTGCTCCAAGGAAGACAAAACTATTCTCTTTATCATCTTGTACCTATATTAATGTGAGATCCACACAACATACCTTGTATGTCTTTTCATTATAACTGCAGTTCTTCTCAACTGAAAAATAACACAGTAAATAAATAGTGTCCTGGTACAAAAGGCCAAATATGTATTAGTATTCATGTGAGGAAAAGGAAAGTCTCTGAGATAGTACTTAAAAGGTGCTATATGTTAGTATTTTAAAACCTTCCAAAATTAAGTAAAATAATCACCAGAATATGATGAAATAACAGTTTGGACGACATGTCAAAGACATTTATGTATTGTGTTGCAGCGATTTTTAATGAAGTTAGCCTGCTAACCAGCTAGCCTGTCCTGTCTTGTAATACCACTTTGTACCTCAAGAGGCGATAGTGAGTGACTGTAGTGTCGAGTCTGCTCTCAGTCCAACATGAGAGGATGAAGAGGTAACACTGCCCAGAGGGCAAGAAACCACATTCAGTGACAAATAAAAGAAGTGATAGAAATATAAACAAACCAAAAAGTTAACACTGGCGTTACTTTCCACCGCTGGAGACAGCTGCTGTGAGTACAGGAATGAAGTTTGATGCTGAACTTGCAACATTTCTTCTAGACTGGTAAGTAAACAGCTGTTAATGCTTAAGTTGGCTGTGACTTACATATAGCACCTTTAAACCACCATTTTAAAATATGATGAAATGCCAGTGCTTACCACAAATCTGATGACCACAGCACGAGGTGTTTACCAAAACACCAGTGGGGCTACAGACAGGAGCTGACTGAGGGGGGTTTGGAAAACACTCCTCTGTCTGAGTCTGGTTGTTACACGTACACAGGTTACAGTTGGACTCCCACACCTCACCAGGCTGGAAAACAGGTATAGACATAAGTTTTAAACCTAGAGTTAAATCTACAGTTACAAATATTACTCTTTTTTTTTTTACATTGATGAGACAACTATTACCATTTTGGGCTCTCCAAGTGGTCCTTTACAGTCTGTGTGGAAAGAAAAGTAAAGAAACTGACAATTTATCCATGTAAGAGGTCAGACAAAAGTCTTCTAGGTGTCATTGTCACCCTTATAGACCATGTCACTCACAGTGACAGTCAAACACGCAGCTGTTCGAGTGATTTCCTGCCCTGAACTGGCCGTTGGGACAGAAACAACCTGGAGTGTTTTTTTCGAGGGAGGCCCCTGGATAGTGCATTCTGTGTAGCCAAAGCAGATGAATGGTGAGGATGGAAATGATGAACATCTTGACAGTCATGATTATTCTGGATTTAGAAAGATGTTAAAAAAAACGTGTAAAGACATTATTTGTAAAAGTAAAGTCTCCAAACCCTCCAAAGCAGAAGTCATCCATCTTAGGATGACATTCTCTGTAAACCAATCCTTTTGGACATGGCACATCTGAAACATGAACGAAGACAAGGTTATTAAATTAAATATCGGTTTAAAGAACACTTTATTGACAACATTTTTAACCGAAACATAATTACAGTCAGGTTCATAAATCAGTGTGCAAATACTTTAGGACAACAATTCATCCTTGGTTTGATTGACTTTGTTTTGCTGAGTGTAGGAAAAAAAAAAAAAAACCATACCACAGCTTCCATTAGTTAGTTTCCTCCACTCAATGCAGATACCAACATGCTTGCATTCCTCAGCAGCTTGTTCTAGAGAAGAACAAGAGCCGTTTCCGTTCCGGCATGAATCAAACTCACAGTTCTTCTTTTTAAGCTTCAGATTGACATAATAACTGCAGTTTAAAAATGCTCTGAGGAAACAGAATAGATTCGATTTTTAGTTAATAGTTAAGGAAGATACTCTCAAGTAAAACATACACTTAAAGATAAACAGCTGAGGTTGTACACCATTGAAATATTGAAAAATAAAAACACAGAAACTAGATACAGAGAAAACTAGCTGAAGTGTTGCACACGGTTGCTCGATCACGGTTGTGGATGACAGCTTGAGCAATAGTCGCTAGAGTATATGAGATGATAAGCTATGGTGACATTGGATGGTTGCTACTATGGGTCTGTAAAGGTACAGTAGTTCCTAAGTAAAGTAAAACCATTGTGCCTCACTTTTATGACATATAGTGTGATAGCAATATGTAGCAAACACACTAATTACCAACTCCTTCAGCAATTCCCTCAACAGTAGTGTGTGTTAGTGTGTGGAGCTTACGGGTGATCTAGCAGCTCACACAGTGGGCTTGCAGGGCTTGCAGGGCAGCTGGGTGCCGGAGTTGTACCAGAATGACAGGGTACGTCCTTTGGTGCAGAAACACAGGCTGGCTTCAGAGGGTCTGCGTACACCCAGTCATAGGCCGTCTTATCACAGCAGCTGTTGTCCTCGATCTGCCCCCCTCTACGGATGCATGATCCGCTACCACAAACACCTGGAAAGAAGATGGAGAGGAGAGGTCAGTTAAGAAGATGTGTGATCTGATATCTAATACACATTTTAATGGACATAAACATCTATCCTAAGGACCGACATTAAACAGGCTGGTTTGTAGTTGTATCTCCAATATTTTGGCATTATATGACAAAAATAACCTGATAAAAGTAACCTGAAGGTCGTTACCAGATTTAAGGTAATGCCACACAGTTAGCTGGTCTTCTTTAGTTTTTTAGTAGCCTCATGTCTGAGAGGAGAGATGTCAGAGACCTGTATGTATTTAAACCTAACTCTATGCACAGCTTTAGCCACTTTCAGCACATTTTTTTGGTTCTCTAGCCCACACATACAGTAGTAGTAGCAGTAGTAGTGGTATATAGACATTTCCGGCTGGTGAACATAATAGTGCATGAGGCAAGCTGAAGATCCAGCCTAGCATATCTTTGTCAGGAGATGGTGGATAAAAAAAAAAGAAAAAAAGGGGAAACCAAACATAAATTTACCAGGTAGCCAAACACAAAACATCTGGATGCTCACGTCACCTTATGTCTGCTGCGTTGTTGTTTTGTATCACAGACCTGTTTCTTTGGGACTGTTGAGTGTTTCTGTTGTCTGGCAGTCAGAAATTGTTTATAACATTAAGCAACACATACTATTAAGTTTTGTTAGCTAGATAACTAGCCTGCAAGCTAATTTAGTGAAGCAGCTAACATGTTGTCTCCTTTATCAGTGACAGAGGATTGACAGACAAGATTAAGCTAATAAATTCATAGAAGTTTGTGATTTTTGCCTTACCTGAAATCCACTCTACACACAAATACACACTGTGGAAACAGATAGACAGTACAGTATACACTTAACCACACCTGAAGAGCATTCCCTTTAATCTGTTACTCACCACATTGTCCCTGGGTGTTGTTGTGGAAGTGCTCCATGGCCAGATTGACCACCAGGGTATAAGACGGACTGAGGGAGATATAAGAGCGGATCTCTGGGAGATAGATTGACACCATGTACCCTGTGGTCTCAAACCTCAACCCATGCTCCTCGTATGGCGGCAGTATGGTCACATTGTTCAGAGTGGCCTAAGGCAAATTAGATCAGTATCAAACCCACTGTCACAATCTTAGTATGGTACCAAAATACTTGAGTAAAAATATCCTATATCACAGACAATGATTATCAGCATCCTTAATATGTAATGCGGCATGGTATTACGGTGTAAGTAATATATAGAGTTGTATGATATCCTACCTGAACTGCAAACAAATCTGGGATGATATTGAGTGTAGCCATGTTGTTTTGATAATTCAGGATGACGCCTTTAACACAGGAGCCGTGGAGGCCCGGCACACAGTAGAAGTTATCCACAGTAATAGAAAGATGATGTTGTGGTGACCGCTCCTCCACCAGGATGGAGGTGCATTCGTCCAGGAAATCAAAGTTTACACCATCGAAAGAGATGTAGTGGGGATCCCCATATAGCTCACAGCGACCTAGGGAGGATGTGGGAAAGGATGAAAGATGATTTTAGTAGATATGGACAGAAAACAAGACATCAGAACATTACCTGCACACATCAGCATGGTATTGTTGTCATTGTTAGCATGTTAGCATTTAGGTCAAAGCACCAAGATAACTTTGTGCTAAGAATCAGAATACAATATACTGCCTAACCACATAAAAAACAAACTATAGATGTGTAGAACTAAATGTTACTGAAAACAGGCAGAAAGACAGGATACACTTACAGTCACATTTCCATGTTTCACAGCATCCATCTGACACTTTTGCGACCTGACCTCTGGGGCAGATGGGAACTTTAGGCTCTGGACAAACCACTGGAGTCAACTCTATCTTCCCATTTGTACAGGTCTTATGGAAACAGTCCTCTGTCCACATCTCACCACAAGTCCAGGTTTTTTTCCTCTTCAGGTCTGTACACTCATTGCACACTGTTGTGTGAGTTGTCGACTCTGTACTGACTGTTATGATGGTGGACTGTGATGAGGCTGTAGGGACTGAAGTGACTTTAGTTGGACCTGGGGTTTCAGCAGGCGTAGCATTTGACGCAAAGGTGGTTGCTGATTGAAGTGTTACTGTTGGCTCTGTACGTTTTGTTGTTGGCTGAGTTGAGGAAGTAAGTGTTGATGTATCTATTTTTTGGGAATGTGAAACTTGTGTCCACACTGACCCTGTTACGACAACCTCGGTGGATTCAATGGTATTTGTTATTGTTGTAGGTTGTGCTGAGGTAGCAGCTGTCATTGTAGATGTGGTATTCATTCTAGTTGTCGATGATGTGGTGGGTGAGCTGGTAACGCCTGTTGTGTAAGTCAGCTCTGTATGGTTTACTGAGGTTACAGTGGTAGTTGAGGTAGTTGTAGGCATTGGTGTAGAGGTGGTGGAAGGCGTCGTTGACCATGTTTCAGAGGTAGCTGAAACATTGGTAATGGTCGTCAATGGTGTAGTGGTAGTGGAAGGCATCGTTGACCATGTTTCAGAGGTAGCTGAAACATTGGTAATGGTCGTCAGTGGTGTGGTGGTAGTGGAAGGCGTCGTTGACCATGTTTCAGAGGTAGCTGAAACATTGGTAATGGTCGTCAACGGTATGGTGGTAGTGGAAGAAGTTGCTGACCATGTTTCAGAGGTAGTTGAAACATTGGTAATGGTCGTCAATGGGGTGGTGGTAGTGGAAGGCGTCGTTGCCCATGTTTCAGAGGTAGCTGTAACATTGGTAATGGTCGTCAATGGGGTGGTGGTAGTGGAAGGCGTCGTTGCCCATGTTTCAGAGGTAGCTGTAACATTGGTAATGGTCGTCAATGGGGTGGTGGTAGTGGAAGGCGTCGTTGCCCATGTTTCAGAGGTAGCTGTAACATTGGTAATGGTCGTCAATGGGGTGGTGGTAGTGGAAGGCGTCGTTGCCCATGTTTCAGAGGTAGCTGTAACATTGGTAATGGTCGTCAATGGGGTGGTGGTAGTGGAAGGCGTCGTTGCCCATGTTTCAGAGGTAGCTGTAACATTGGTAATGGTCGTCAATGGGGTGGTGGTAGTGGAAGGCGTCGTTGCCCATGTTTCAGAGGTAGCTGTAACATTGGTAATGGTCGTCAATGGGGTGGTGGTAGTGGAAGGCGTCGTTGCCCATGTTTCAGAGGTAGCTGTAACATTGGTAATGGTCGTCAATGGGGTGGTGGTAGTGGAAGGCGTCGTTGCCCATGTTTCAGAGGTAGCTGTAACATTGGTAATGGTCGTCAATGGGGTGGTGGTAGTGGAAGGCGTCGTTGCCCATGTTTCAGAGGTAGCTGTAACATTGGTAATGGTCGTCAATGGGGTGGTGGTAGTGGAAGGCGTCGTTGCCCATGTTTCAGAGGTAGCTGTAACATTGGTAATGGTCGTCAATGGGGTGGTGGTAGTGGAAGGCGTCGTTGCCCATGTTTCAGAGGTAGCTGTAACATTGGTAATGGTCGTCAATGGGGTGGTGGTAGTGGAAGGCGTCGTTGCCCATGTTTCAGAGGTAGCTGTAACATTGGTAATGGTCGTCAATGGGGTGGTGGTAGTGGAAGGCGTCGTTGCCCATGTTTCAGAGGTAGCTGTAACATTGGTAATGGTCGTCAATGGGGTGGTGGTAGTGGAAGGCGTCGTTGCCCATGTTTCAGAGGTAGCTGTAACATTGGTAATGGTCGTCAATGGGGTGGTGGTAGTGGAAGGCGTCGTTGCCCATGTTTCAGAGGTAGCTGTAACATTGGTAATGGTCGTCAATGGGGTGGTGGTAGTGGAAGGCGTCGTTGCCCATGTTTCAGAGGTAGCTGTAACATTGGTAATGGTCGTCAATGGGGTGGTGGTAGTGGAAGGCGTCGTTGACCATGTCTCAGAGGTAGCTGAAACATTGGGAATGGTCGTCAACGGTGTGGTGGGAGTGGAAGGCGTTGTTGACCATGTTTCAGAGGTAGTTGAAACAGATGTAGTTGTTAGGGTAGTGGAGGGCACAGTTGTTTCTGAGGAGGTTGAAGCAGTTGGGATGATAGTGCTTGATGTAGAGGTGGTGGCAGGTATAGTTGTAGTTGTAAGTGGAGGTGCTGTTGGGGTAGAGGTGGTAGTAAGTTCTGGTGTTTTGACAGTTGGTTCTGTAAAACACTAAGAAATAATCTACAACTTTTTCAAACTTTCTTGTACAGTTGTGAATCTAGTAGTAAATGTAGTGGGATGTGAATAGAATTCATACTTACGACACTTAATTGTTCCATTTTCACAGGGGCTAACATGAATAATAAAGAAATATCCAGTTATGAATGTGATGACTGTTAATACATTACATTTCACGGTGTTACAATGTGTAGACAGTGTACATTACAAATGGCTCATCTTACCACTTATTAGACTGTATCATCACCACTGTCCCAGGATGAATGATTGTGTCATTGAAATAACAGGAGCAGTTCCTCAATTTGGTGCATTCCCCAGTGTTTTCATCATAGTATGGTGCATCTTTTGGACATCTGGGGAAGCAACCTTATCCAAGAGCAAATATAATGTTTATTTTCACAGGGTTACAGTTTATGTTAACAATGCCTAATTAATTTACATTAATGCATTATTTATATTTACAGATTCAACTGAGTAAGAATTAAGCGAAGCTGCTATATTTGAATGAAATTCAGAAAACCTGGATACCTTCCACCTTGTGAGTGAAGTAGTTGCCTTTGCCACAGGTTAGCATCTCACCACAGGGCTCATAGTGCCAGCTACACTGGCCCTGCTCATTGTAGTAGTCACAGTAGACCGCTAAAGGTGAAATGATCACAGATTAAGTCAATGCAGTCTTACTTATGCCTTATGTTTCGTAAATTTCCAATAATAATGAACACTTTTCATCATAAGGATTGTTGGCTATAATGATTGATTACCTCACGTCTAGTGTCAGTTTTCGGCATAATGACAAAGAAATACTATCTTTCCGCAAACTATCTGAAAAAAAGAGTTAAGTAAAACTAACGTTACGTGGGAAAAAGGGTGGTCTTAACTTACGACACAAATCAGGTGTTCTCCATTTGACACACACATCCTGGTCGCTGCAGGCCTCTGCGTAGGCTGCCACTGCTGTGCAGAAGCCCAGGAACTTGCCTTCAAACTCACAGGAGCAAGACTCCTGCACACAGGCATGGTAGTACGGTTCTGGGTCCACCTGGGGATTGTAGATCATCCAGCAGAATAGGGATTTTATCAACATGTTTAAGGGCTCAGGAATTTATTGATGTCCATTAATGTGAATAGCTACTGTAGGGTCTTATATTGCAGTAGACTTGGATAAAACAATCTTCAGTGTTGACTGTTATGCTTATGGTTGATCATCAATGATCTGAGTTCCTTGTACACTATACCCCTACACTCTATGTCACCCTTCCTACCAAATGAGTAGGGGGCCCTGAACAGAAATCCAGACCCTGGTCTTAGTGGTTTGCTAAATATGTAAAAAAGCATACTTTTAAGTGGCAGTCTTTGAAGGTGTCTGATGCAATGATCAGGCAGCGGCGCTGGGCCCAGGCTGAGCAGTAGGAGTTGCGTTCACATGGAAATATCTCAGTGGTCACATCAGAACAAGGAGGTGTGGCGGCTTTCCAGCTGTTGCCAAAGGCCATGGGGCTGGAAACCACTAAACACAGTGTTTCTGGGGTTATTTTGACCATCATGACAGAAGTATTTGTGCATCTTGAAATAAAGACAAAGCTAATTTACCTGCTGAGCCACTTATCTGTAGGTCATTCATCTCATTGGAGTCAAAATTACCACAGAGGCCACACACTTTGTTCTGAAGGAGACATTTTTAAAAAATTAAAAAAAAAATGAATTTAAAAAGTATAAAAAGGCAATTGCTATAATAAATATTTCTACAAAATGTGCATTTCAAAATCATGCCTCAATTTCAAAATCCATCATAACATCCCAATCACTCACCCTCCAGTTTGGATGCAGCTCCATGGTGATCCTGGTGTGTTTGTCCCAGATGAGAGTTATCCCTCTGCTTGGCACTGAGATTATGATGTAGAGTCCCACGGTGTGTGTGGTGTAAAGTGAATCTTCTTGCATGGTCCAGCCTTTTTGGAGGCGTCTCGTCACTCTCATATCACTCAGGGTCAGGGTGACTAAGCCCTGGATGGGACAATACCGGACAGTTACAAGATTATTTAAACATTTTGATGAACAACCTGGAATAAATAAGCAAATGAATGAATGAAAAGAATACAGCTACATGGTCAACAGCTGAGAGTCTTTGTGAAGAGTCACCCACCTGCAGGTCCAGGACGATGGAGCGAGAGCAGGTCAGTGCCTCATCGCAGCAGGGTACGCTCTCCACTCTGACAGAGAAGGTGCCGTTTCTATTTCCACAGTAATCCTGAGGTAAAAAGAGCAGAGTTCAAAATATGACAAACTAAAGCCTATTTTTAAACTACAACTAAGTTGTTAGGCTCTGCCACTCAGACTAGTTTCAGATTACATCCCTGTTTATCCAGAATCATATAAAATATGAACCATTTGTGTGAAATTTTGCCATAACTGCTGCATGAAGTCATGTGTTATGTCTAAAAAGTGTTTTGTACGGTCACAGTGTCCTTGACCTTTGACGTTCAACCAGCAAAATCTAATCAGTTCATCCTTGAGTCCCAGTGGACATTTGTGCCAAATTTGATGAAATTCCCTCAAAGCGTTACAGAGATATCGTGTTCACAAGAATGGTGGCCTTGGCTGTCGCCGGTGCAGAGGCATAAAAATGCGCTATACTATGGATCAGGTAATTGGGTAATGTACCATGTCCCATGAAGACAAAATGTTCGAGATCTACAAAGCTTTAGCAAAGACATCTGTAAGTAAATGATTGTTATTAGGTTAAGATTTTTAAAAGAATTAGCTATGTAAACCAGAGTAAGTGTAATAAATCTCTGAGGTGCTTAAGAATAACTACTTATCAGTCCACCAAAGTGCATGTTCGGTTTGTCCTCCCCCTAATGTGGGACAGAGCTTAGTTGCTTACTTGTCAGACATCACAGAAACACAACAAAAATATATGTGATCTGTGGACTTCAAAAATATAATATTTGTGTATTATACACAATACTAATTGATACGAAAGATCGAAAGATCGATAGATAGATAGATAGATAGATAGATAGATAGATAGATAGATACTTTATTTATCCCCTAGAGGAAATCCATGCGTCCATTAGATCATTGTTGATAATAATAATAAAAACAGTTAATAACAAATGAACAATAATAATTGTATATGTTTCCTGTATTTTGTCATATCTTTACACCAGTTTGGTCTCACCTCTACAAGTGTGTACTGGCAGTGTCCGTCAAAGCGGAACCACTTAGAGTCAAAGGTCTGATAATGTCCATTTCCATACACTTGACACTTCCCAGGGCATGGCTCGTCTCTGCAGTGCCACTGACCCTGACCACAGACACTGGGAGACACAGGGAAGTATTTTAGCTCATGGATGAATAAGACATTGAATCGACAAGTAGTAAAGCAGCAGTAATGCAGATGTTACCATGTTTTACAGTTGGTTTTCACATGCTGTCCTGCGCTGAACACTTTGCCACTGTACACACAGGTGCAGTTGTCCAGAGAAACGCAGTTTCCACGGTGATCCTCATACTGGTCATGTGGGCAGTAACAGCCGCTCTCACAGGTCGTACTGGCACTCTGGAGATCACACCAAAGCAAAGTCTATTAGCTCAACTACACATTTGCCTGATCACAATGAAAGAAATCTGTTTTGTACAAAGTGGAAGTTATAGCGCTGCATTTGAATGACAGAAAGATTTTAAAATAAAATGACAGATTTGAAGACGAAATACACAAGAACAAGAAATATATTCCCTTAACGTTAACAAAATAGAACAGGCCATATGATTAATCTTACGATTATGGCAGATAGTTAGTTAACTACTGAATTCAACTGAAGAATGAATAACACTAACACATGAATAATGTCGAGCCCTGTGAATAAACGTATAATCTGTTGACCTACCAGTGGTTTCCTGAGACTGTCACAGGTTTTCTGAGCCGTGTTAACTGGGAACTCGGAGCAGTGAACACAAACCTTCCCATTTCTGCAGCCTGATGCAAACAATCATTAAATACACAAAACATATTAGTGTGCTAACTATATCAGACAATTTGACATGATATTAGCATAAATATTTTTAGTTAGTTTTGTCAATTACTGGTAATGCATTCTCTGAGAAACAAACTCAACTTATATTGTAGGTAAACTATGAAAATTGGTGGTTGTATCAAAAAAGACAAAGTTGTGTGAGATGGGCCTGTTTTTCCATTAGATTTTCCTGTATTACAGATCTGAAAAATTAAAATTTATGTAGTTGAAACATTAGCTTTGGTTAATTCTCCAGAGATAATAAAGGTTGTTAGTTGCAGATTCTCGGTTTAAAAAGTGTTTTTGAAAATATATACAAAATACTAAAGATAAAAGAATATTTAGTTACCACAATCCTTGGAACAGTGCAGTTCTCCATTCTCACAGAGGCTGTAGAAGACACGATGCTGGATGTGAGATTCAAAACAATCACTTTTGCTGACACACAATATATCTACAAGATAGATGTGGTGTTCTACAAAACTAAAAATGGTAATACAAAAAGGTGTTTGAGCATCTTAAATAGTTACAAACACATCAATGATGAGCTCACCACTGTCGTCCGTCGATAACAACGCGCCCCGGCGGCGTTGTCCCACCATAGTGGTGACATACACACAGTGCTTTTGGGGTACAGAGGTGTCCTTGGTTCAGGTGAGTTCCTTCCGGACAACCACAGCCCTCCACAGGAGCATCATCCACCCAACAGCGAGGGTCAGGGCCAGACAGGGAACGACATGTGTGGTTGCAGGCCAGCATGTCGTAGGAGAACTCTTGGTTCTTCTGACATTTAAGAGCTGTGACACAACATTGTGATTAACATACAACTAAATTTTGGTCTTCTTAAAATAATTTGTGACATTTTCATAAACACACATTTACTTTTGCTGCTTTATTTTTACTGTAGGGTATCTGAGAGGTGTTTACACAATGCAAACATCGCATAGAAATGACCTCTTATCACTACTGCCAAAACAAAAAACAATAAGACATTGTCAGAAGCAGTAATGATCTAATTTAAGCTTCAGACAGTTTGATCATAAGTCCAGTGGTGGGATGAGCTTTCTATATTTATTTACTGTATATATTTACACATTTATGAAAGCTGGACTCACTGCAGTTGGTAGCTTTCCTCCAGTCACCAACTGCAACACCGAGGACGGCGCAGGCTTTGGCGTAGCTGCCCAGAGCAACACACAAACACTGCTGCAGATTGCTGCCACAGTTACAAGTTCTTTGGATGCAAGCCTGAAAATAATAATCAGTTTCAGGTTACCAGGAGTCCATCATAGCTGAAAACTTAACGATTTGGTTGATGTGTGAAAGTCTTCTTACAGTGTGGAACTGATCCGTTGGGATATGACTATGGCATTTGGCAAATATCCCAGTTGGGTGGTTCAACAGAGAACACTTCTCATCTGCAAATATTTCTGCAAAAAATACATATTAAGATAATGAAATCTGTTTGCAAAACCCTCTGGAGGTAAAGTATTTTCCTTGCAGTTGAAGTATTTGTTGAATATCACGGAGAAGCAAGCAAGCCAGTGTTTTATTATCCAAACTTTGTTTTCTATGTGATGTCTATTTTTAAAAAGGCAGCCACACATTTAACAGGTACATTTATATCATTCATTGGTACCGTTGTCTGTGTTGCTGCAGGTGGGGGGTATGTTCACTGCACATGTGCCCACAGTCCAGGACAGAGCGAACTGCTGTGGCGAGTTCTCGATGATCCCGCTGCTGGTGGTGAAGTCGTCTGTGGTGTCATTGTTGCTGTCGCCACAAAGACCTGAAAGACAGACTGACTCTAAGAACACATCCAACTGGACCATGCTCATAAAACAAAAAAAAAAAACAAAAAAAAAAAATCAAGTGAACATGTTTGACCTGTGTGTTTGTAGACTGAGATCCTCACCTGAGATTATGCCAGTGTGGTTTCTTGGTGGAGTGATGTAGAGCTGAATCTCAGGAGACATCTGGACTTGGATCTTCATACCAAAGGATGTCTGGACTTGGACGTACATGGAGGACTGCCAGAAAACCAGGGCATGATCTGACGGGTGGCAGAGATTAGCAAGTGACTCGGTAGATGATGGACAACACTTTGTTAAATTTGACCTAAAAGTTTCATCTCTTTGTCTGTTTTTGTCTTTTTTCTCAATTACTTCTTACCAGACTGATGAAGTTCAGTAATCTCTTCCTCTCCCACTTTAACTCTGTTGTATGAGAATGTATACACGTCCTACAAATCCCAAAGGACATTTATATTCACTTATGATACTCCTTCTTGACATTTGTTTGATAGATTATATGGTGTCGAAGTTAATCCTCAAAGACTGTCTGTACCTGAAAAAGCTGAAGGACAACTGTTTTCAGAGACACCGCCTTCTCAGAAAACTGAATAGTTATTATCCAGTTGAGACCCTTGAAAAGGAATTTTAAAGGACAGTCAGTATTACAAAAAAAGGCAACATGTGTTGGTTAATGTTAGATGTTGGTGCAGTGGGAAAACTTTACCTGTGACACCACATATGTACATTTACCAGGGACGATATATTGTTTGCCATCAAATGTCGTCACAAAATGCCCTTCAATGAGACATCTGGCTGGGCAGAAGTTGTCAGAGCAACGCCACTTCCCACCCTCACACACGCTGAGAAAACAGATATGAGAAAGGAATTCGTATTTAAAAACTTCATATGGAAATTCCCAATTCATGCATATTCCATTAGTATGATCAGCTTTGTTTCTGCCTCCTCACCACGACTGACACTTGGTGTTACGTGTGTCTCCAGTTACGTAGCTGCTGCCGTCAAACACACAGGGGCAGCTGGACACATTCACACAGTGGAAGCCATCTGCGTGATCATTAAGCACCGTACCTACACACAAAATTCGGTGCAGCCTTAACCAGCAGCTAAACAGCAGATTTACACAGTGAGGAACTAGATCATAAAATCAGACAGTGCTCACCCTTCGGGCAGACACAGGAGCTCGTGAGTTCCTGGTTGGAGAATCTGGGGTTTGGGTTGGAGCAGCTGGGAACAAAGGGATCACCCTGTTCTACATGAAGCAGGTCTCCTGGACAACTATGTGGAGCTGCATTCAACCACAGAAACACACATCACTCCAGTGTAACTAACGGACAGACAGTCGAGTGAAGTCTATGAAATCTTTATTTAATATAAAAATGTCACCTACTGCATCTGGTTGAAGATCTCCAGATGTTCCAGATGTAGCTGTTGTTTCCACACTGCTGGACAACTTCTTTGAAGAAAGCACAGCTGATGTATTCGCTGTTTTCATAGCTGTAGATGTTCTCTTCACAGAGTTGGACATAATGAGGCAACCTGGCTTGCAGACAATCCAAGGTGTAGGAAAAGAACAGTCTGCATATCTGCAATCAGAGAAACCATCTGAACATCTGGAACTAGGATCTTACGTGTGTTTAGTTTCATTTTATGTTCAAAATGTAAAGACAGCTGAATGGATTGAGATCTAAAATGTAAGTTTAGTGAAAGAAATGTAGAACTACTGTACAGTACTTTAAAACTTATATGGTGTGTACATCCTACATACAACAATCCTTCAGTTCGGTTTGAAACTGAAACAGTGATCAAATTATTCAACTTACTGGATTCATGACAGAGACAGGATCTCGGGTTTGACATGTGTCCTCAGAAAGCACGCTCTCTGTAATAAACTGCTCCTTGTTGCCTAATTTCATAGAAAAGGTACACTGTTATAGCAAACTGCATGTGCACGATTATCAAAATTTACAAAAGCAAAAGTTGTTGGTATTATCATCTACATTCTAAAAATTACAAGTGAAACTGACATTTTAAGAAACTTTGTAAGGAACATCTCATTTTAACATCAAATATCGCTAAGCAAAAGTTTACCAATTACGTGTAATATTTATTTATTACCCACAGTTTTTACTACTTCTGCTTCCACAAACACCATCACTGCCACTGCTGCCACTAGTAGTAGTACTGCCACTAATATTACTACTAATACTACAATACAAGAACTACTACTATCGCCGTCGTACCTGGAACATTGTGTTTTCCACACAGTCCGGTCATGTCAGTGCTCAGCTCCTGCTCCAGCTCCACCTTAACAAGTCATGAGAAAAGGGTTGATGTTGGCGCTCTGCAGGACTTAACAACTGTAAATATTCCAATAAATGTGTCATATGATGTGTATGCGTGCTTTGTTTGCATTTGTGTGCCTGATTTTATGCTCTCCTGTGAAAGATGTGCAGCATTAGTGTCCTCTCACCCTCAGTGTGTCTATTCCTCCAGGTACATTGTGCCAGGTGACAGACAGAGGAAGCAGCGAGCTCTTCAGTTTAGTGTAGATGCCATACTGAAAAATGTGCTGGTAGGTGTGGTCATATGGAAGGGAAACACTGTCCGCAAATAAAGATACAGAGGCATCAGTACAGAGATCATACAGTTAGTAAAAAAAAGTTCATAAATAAATACTAAATGATAACACTGGTAAAATATTTCACCGTCTACCTCCTACAAAACAGCCTGAAAGTCACCTTACAGATTGTGGCCACCTCCAGTGATCCTACCATTGTTTGTTTTCAATTAATAATGCACAGTGTCCCAGAATCAGAGCTAATAATAAACTAACATTGAGGCCATTAAGAATGCATAAAGCTGCCAACCACCGGGCTGTGCGGCTGAATATGAAGCAGTTGACTGATGTGAAGTGTCAAAACAAATACAGACTAAGAAGATACTTGATCAGATTTGCACTAATCATTATTTAGTTTGTGTAGCTGCAGTTTTCCTGGAGTGTCAGGAGCATCAGGGTGGGTTAGGATTCAGGGCCAAACCTTTTCTTCTCCACCAGGATGCTTCCATTCTGCACAACAGTCCTGACTTTGTTGATGATGATCTCGACTTGGACCAGCAGCCCGCTGTCACCTCGCCGTGTGGTGATGTCACATTCAACCCGGTTGTGGGTGAAGCGGGTGAGGGTGAACGGGCAATTGGATCTCACATAGTAACCTGATCCGTTGAAAGGCTGGACGACCCCGCTGCCAAACGTCCTGCAAGTGTCTGATCACAACAAAAGTCTTTTTACTGATTCATGATGGACAGTGGCTGAAGACATGACTGAATTCATTAATGGTTAATCATAATCAAATAATGATTCATTAATTTTGATTTATGCTTTGAAATGTTGGTGTAAAATGTAATCATCAGTACAGCCCACAACTTAAATTCACTAATGAAATGTAACTTTAAGTTAGTTTTGCAGCACCCATTACGCTGGAACAATGCAAACAAAATCAGTTAAATCTACTTTACAGATTAGTATGTGATTTTAGTTTTTTTTTTAATATAAGCCATTTTAAAATCAATAAATCAATAAACATACAGACCAATTATTATTTCAAGATATGTAAAAATCATATCAAACATCAAAATTAACATTGATTGTCTAATACTCACATTTCTGAGTTTCTGTTGTTGTGACTGATTCAACTGTCCCTAAAACTAGGTGAGAAATACAATAAAAATAATCAAAACTATGAATAATAACACAAATACCTGGATATCGCAGAAATCCTATAATTATACGGGAAATACAGCATTTGATCAAATATACATGATACACATAAGCGGGGCAAAAGTAAAACTAGGAATACTGCGATATAAAAACTGCAATGGAAATGTTACTTCAGTAAAAGTACAAAAGTGTTATTAGTAAATTATACTTTGAGTATCAAAAGTAAAGCACGCAGGGATTCTAAAAAAACTGCCTCTGTAACTGTTATATTCACAACTCAAATTTTATATCATTATATTATATATGATTATATGATAATTACTCTATATGATAATATGTATGATGCATTAAAGTGTAAGTAGCATTGTACTGTATAATCTACAACAGTGCATAATATTTTTTAAGCTCATGTTTTGTGTCTAAAATCTTCTGAAAGTTTGAAACTAAAATTGTCAAAAAAAATGTAGTGGAATAAAACAGAAAAGATTTCCCTCTGAATTTTGTAGTAGAAATAAGTTACTAGTACCTCAAATTTGTACTGAAGTACAGAACTTATTAATATCAATAATCAATTATCAATAATTGAACTTAGTTTAAATCCACCATTCAAAGTAACAACAAAGCAAATTCATTTTCTTACTTGTGAGCCAAATGTGATGAAAGGCCTTTTCTCTGATTTAACTCATGAAATGGATAAAAAATGAAAAAGGTGGAAAAATCTGATAGTAACTTTTGTCCACCTTGTAGAAATTTCATTTTGCAAAATCCATGTCTCATGGCACATTTTCTACTTAAAATAAGTATTTCATATTCAAATGGTTAAATGAAATATTGCATGGTACCTGAGGCCAATGAGAAGTAGACAGCCAGCATCCATCTCTGCGAGGACATGCTGCCTGATGCTCCCTTACTGCAGGAGAGCAGGTGAACCAAGTGGCACTGTGCAACCACCCCACCACAGGGGCTATATATGCAGTGTCCATACACACACACTGCCCGAAACACACTTGAACTTCTTTCTGAGCAAATACCAGGAAACAAAAAACAGATTAAACATTAATCTAAATGATGATTGGGCAGAAACACGATAAAGATCACACAATGCTGGAAAACCAGCTTATTTTTTAAAGTAAATCCTGCTTATCATGTTGCATTTAGTTACACTATTTCATGGTAACAACAGTCCCTGTGCTATATACTCCCGTGGGAAATTGTGAGTGTGTCTATTTGTGTGTGAAGGACAAAGGGAGACCTCAAGCTGCATGAGGTCAGAAAACCTCTCAATAGAAATCCACACACGAATGGATGCACAAACACAGTCTAAAAAACTCAATATCAAAACAACTGTTAGAGGAGAGTTTGAAACTTGAGCCTGCTCTCTTATTTCTTTAAACCTCTTGTTTTCTGATACAATAAACACCAGAAATGGCACCTGGTTAATATCTGGGAGTTTTTATATTGGTTTTTGGAAGGAACCGAAATACTGTGTAGTAGTAAGTGAGACAGCCAGAGAAAGGCAATATGTCAAGTGTCACCAACCTCACCCCTAATGGCTAAAATATTAAGTCCTGTATTGAGAAAGAGGGATGCTTACTTTTGGCAAACACTGGTGAATCAGACAATGTCTTGCAGGTAAAGAGAGGTGAATTGAGCAATAATTAATGAGGCTTGGTAAATGCTCAGGGTGCATGAACCAGGATGTAGTTAGTTATTTTTGAGTAAGGGGGACATGTGAGATGACTTAAATACGTCCTGCAGCTGTTTTGATTTCATTTTATGCAAATATTTTATTCTGAGCTGACAACTGAGCCAAATGAGCTTAAATCAGTGAGGTGGTAAAAGGATTAAGTGGCAATAGTCAACACACCAGCTGGCTACATTGAACCTGAGATCTCCTAACTCACCACCTGTCAGTCAAGACACTTTCCGAATAAAATTCTTAGTGTGTGTAGTAAAGAGTACATTCACTGCATATCATGTAACTATAACTGTAGAAACTTGGTACTGCTTTAAGACAAAACTAAATTCAAATTGAAGTGGTGTTTTAAGTGGTTACATGTGTATCAAATCTGTCCAATGCTGGTATTGTTAGCAAACAAGTGTGTTCTTACTCCTCCAGCAGGCATGGAGCCGATTATCATTCCTTTGTGGTCATGTTTCTGGGCACTGGCAAATACATGTTTATAATATTCACTCACCTTTTAACACCGGTTTGGTCTCCACCAACTCCTGGAAAAACAAACAAAAACAAAAACTGAGTCCTTTTCCTGCTAGCTGTTCGTATTTCTTCAACAACTTGATGCCAACTTTGTCAGCCTTCTGTTGGCTGCTGGTCGGGTAGCACACTGGGTTTATCAGAGGTTTGTTTGTGTAAACAGCTGCCTGCTGCAGCTGGAGATGGAGTTAGTAAGAGTTAAAGAGATTTAAACAATGAGCTAAAAGGGGCTAAAATCTCTGTGAAACTGCAGAGTTAGGTGATAAGGCTCAGTGAGTTAATGCTGGTAACCCATTTCATTTTTAACATACTTTGATTTTAGGATGGAGAGAGCCATTTTACCATTTTGAACATTGCAAAACCTATTACACTTTAATGTCTTCATGCTAGATTGATATTTTTTGGTTACTAGGAGACAGGGGAGCTCCAAAAAAAAACTGACTCAACAGCCCTGACATTTTGTTCCTTCAAAACTAACTGACTGACTAACTAACTAATGTCTACTTACACAATCAGCAGACATGGAGCAAGTAAGTACAATATTCACTCTCGTTTTTGCTCTGCTTTGGCAAATTCCTTACAAAAATATTTGGGTTATTTGCTGCTGGCTGTTAAATTTTCTTTCACCTGCTAGCTAGTTGCAAAAATTGTCCACCATTTTGTGCTGGACAGGAAGCATACTGAAGGTTTATCAGGGATAACTGTGCTGTAAAACCTTAGTATTAAAGTGCTCTAAAATCAAAACAATGAGCTGAAATGGGCTAAAAAGCTTTACAGAACTGACTTACCCAATTAGAAGAAAAAACACAGGTTGACCTAATAACATTAATTGCTTTTATGCTCCTCACAAACCGGGGCTTCCTTATGTACTTTCACCCTGTAATGCTGTAAATCAGCTGCCCTGACACTCATTTTGATATTTCCTTGGAATGGTCCTGGTGGTGATGTGTTCGATTTCACAAGTTACATCAGATTGTGGAGTCCTGGTTAAAAGGAAGAAATGATCCTGTTCTAATGTCATAAACAACCCAATAAAAAAGAAAAAACACAGTGTAGACCTGCCCTTGTGACTCCACTGGCTGCTGCAACCTGCGGTTTGGCAATCTGACAATGCACCAGGATTTGTTATTTCTACTCTGGATTTTTTTCAGGTGTGCCTCTCTTTATCACTTATATCTGGCTGCAAAAAATACAGAGGCTAAATCAATCTGTCGCACAATGGGAGCTGTTGCCTTACAGCAGATCAATAAAGAAACACATCTGAACAGTTTATGCTGTGAGTATGCTGCTATGTGTACTTCTAATATCACCCTCACTTTTAGTCATCATGTATGAAATGATAAAATTCAACACGACAAACAAACATATAGAATATTATATAGACTATCAAAAAAACAAAATGAATAGTGGCCTTTGGGGGGGTGGGGCTTAGCACATCCAAGTCTCATTCATTAGGCCTGTATTACAAAATAAGCTTTGACATGTCACAGAAGAAAAAGTACAGGTGTAAATAATAAAACTGATGATGGCTGACTTCCTCCATAATCCTCTTTCTATAATGGCATATAATATTATAGGTCTTTGGGAGGGTCTAACCCTCCCTAACCCAAACTGTTTGACAATGTTCCCTCAACATTTATGTTTCCTACTTCTTATATTACAATGTTAAGACTTAACAACTGTTTTATTCTCAAATGTTACATTTATTTATTTATGTGTTCTACACTTGTGAACCCATGACAGAATTTTCAGGGAATACACAGCAAACTGAAAGTGAGATCCACTGGTTTCAGCCTCAGGAGATATGAAAGTTTGGTTGCTTAAGTAGTGGCTGTGAGATTCATACAGTAAACTAACATCATCAGAGCACTTTGAAACTGTGCACTCCTGACCTCTAGTGGCAGGATTCAATGAAACACCCACTCACATAACTTATAACTCACATAATTCATTGAAAATATCAATTTAGTGCAGAAATTGATCGAGTTCAAATGTATCTACAAAGTAATGGGAAATGAAAGAATTATCTACCAACTAATTCTTTTTTCTTTTTTTTTTTTAAAGAAGGAAACTTAACCAACTAATGAGAAAGCAAAGAGTTTAAACCTATCTACAGAGCAAGAATAAATAAAAGACTTAAAACTTTTCCAAGAAGAAATTAAGGAGTTAAGAGAACAAGGAGGCATACAGAATTAAAAAACATTCTTAAAAAACTGAAAAGAAAGAAAAGGGTTAAAGGAGGAAATGAAACATTTCTCTACCAAGCAAAATATTAAAAAAAGAAAAAAGAAAAAAAAAAAGGAAACTTATCAACTAATAAAAATTGTGTGTGTGTGTGTGTTACTGTTTCAACTACTGGCTGGTCCAGCCATGGAGCTCTGCATCTCACTGGTCACATCTCCAGGCTGTACGGACAGTCATTTAACCAGGCCATGAACATCATCGTCATCCACAGGGATCTGGTCTGACGAAGCAGCAGCAGTCTGAAAGAGCCTTGTCTCCGGAGGCTCCTGGAGGACTCCGGGCTCCTGCTCCCCTTCTCCTGCTGCTCGTTCCTGAACATTTCAGAGACACAGAGAGAGGAGGAGAAGGAAGGTCAGACTGGTTCAGCTACACCCTTTAGACTGATGCAGCAGAGCGGGAGAAATGTGTGTGGTGACCACTGACCTCAAATAAGAGCGGTTCTGACCGATAGAAAAACAGGAGGCAGGTGAAAACTAACACTTGTGTATACATTTGGAGTACTCACCTCCAGCTGGACATCTTCCAGTCCAGGGGCTGAGGCTCTGGTCCGACAGGGCAGCAGCAGTCTGACGGAGTCTTCTCTCTGCAGGATCCTGGAGGGCTCCGGAGCTGCTCTCCTGCTTTCTCTTCCTCTTCCTGCTCTCGGCAGCCTGTTAAACAGATGCACAGAGGGAGGAAGTGAAGGACCAGGTCAGACTCTCAGACTGCTGCTGTAACATCAGTGGATTAAGTCTGTGTGTCCTGTCTCACTGAATGCATCACTGCATTTCATCCAAAATGGCTTCTGTTACTGACCTGGGTGTAACGCTGCTCTGCTTTAAAACAGCGCCATCAAAGTGTGAACACTGGTCACAGTAGTTACTTAATGATTACTATACAAACCATTATTACAGGAATACTACAACTCCATAATATATACTGGTAGGAACTGACATTTAGTGAGTATAGAAGAAATAAACAGTCTAAATTTAAATCATTTGTGGGTAGTCCACTGCCGCACATCCCAACATAACTTACTAAAATATTCAGAGCCACTTGGTGGACATTCAAGAGCTGCAGGGTTTCCCAGTGTGTTATGGAGGAGGTGGACCACATTATCAATCATAGACCACTTCTGTTACATCATAAAAATGAAATCTATTACATACAGGACATAGCACATCCAGTGTTTAATGACTGGATTCAGTTTAGGACTTCAGATACTGACTCACTTGATCACAAGGTGTGTCAGAGTTACCACCTCGGCCCAACAGTGAGCTGCTACAGCCCACTCTACAAACCCCCCACTGACAGCAGTAATAAAGGTAAACAGACATGTAACGCTCCAGCACACACCTCCACTCCACACTTCTATCCACAGCTCTCATCATACAACCGCACCCACCGGTCTCTGAACGCCAGCGGACCGGACTGATCGCACGGACCGGACTGATCGCACGGACCGAGGTGCGGAACGATACGTCGTCAGC